TTTATAAAGAAAAATTTGGTCTCTGTATTCTCTACGTTGCTTCAATGATAAAATATTTAAATTTTTAATTTCAACTACATCAAATCTATACCTCAATCGCTTTATAAATTTATTTTGCACACTCTCTACTGCTTCAATATATTTGTTATATTGCGGGTTCCACACAGTCGAAGCATACTCTAAATGAGATCTAACATATGAATTATACAGCAGATTAAATGTATGTATGCTTTTAAAGTCACTAGCGCTTCTAAATATAAAGCCAAGCATTTTGTATGCTTTTGTAATTATATTATTTATATGTTTATCAAATATAAGTTCAGCATCCAACAACACGCCTAGGTCTTTCACGTCATACACTCTCTTCAGTTGTTTATTAAAAATTTTATAATCAAATATAATTGGCGCTTTCTTTCTGGAGAATGTTATAACACAACACTTGTCGATATTCAAAAATAACCCATTAGATCTACAGTAATTCTCTAAATAAACTAAGTCATCCTGAAGTTTTGCCCAATCTTCGTTTGTTTTTATAATTTTAAAAATCTTTGTATCATCTGCATAAAGAAGTATATTTGAATTTTGAAAAGACTGTAAAATGTCATTTATGAAAATATTAAAAAGAAGAGGGCCAAGGTGAGAACCCTGTGGAACTCCAGATGTAATGGGAACAAAGCTAGAGATAAATCCCTTAACAGCCACCGCTTGAGACCTGTCGCGAAGATAAGATTCAAGCCACCTTAAGAGATCACCATGTATACCAGCATGCTCTATTTTGCGAATTAATATAGAATGTGAGATCTTATCAAAGGCTTTGGAGAAGTCGGTATAAACGGCATCGATTTGAAATCCGCTACTCATAGCTGAGAGCACAATATCCAGGAATTCGCACAAATGCTAATGCTTTACTAGTAAGCACAATCAATATCTCTACATATAATAAAATTTTGAGTCGAATCTGTACATTAAATACTTTTTGGAAAATGTTATTGAAATAGCCATTATTATCGATACGGGTTTAGAATCTATAATTTTTAGAATTTTTGTCTGTCTGTCTTTTACCACATCACGGACTGATGTGGTAAAAGACAGACAGACAGACAAATGTAGATAACTGGAGTGATGAACGGATGATGAAATTTGGTATGATGATAACTGGTTATCCGGGTCAACATATTATATACTTTTTACTGCGGTAAAATATCTCATCTCGGACAAATCTACATATACTAAACGTTAAAACGTAACTAGGGACGAGCGCGAGCAGAGCTAGGGAGAATCGCTAGTAAAATTATATAACTCGGTAGAAAGAGTGCCAAATTGAAAAACAGTAGTTATACAAAATTTAACGATAATATGATGCAGTGATAATACGGCTAATAAATATCGCTAAAAGCTATAGTTTGTTAAATCGAATCTAGTTATATTTGATAAATAAGTTCCATTTCTGACTAAATTAGCTATAAATATTAATAATCACCTACTCACTCTTAATAATATTTAAACCTGAAATATCCATAACATAAATAGACATATATACAGTTACTAAAAATCTATCATCCATATTATTCTAAAATTTAAAAATGCATACAGATGATCGTAGAACCTCTCCTTTCTGGAAGTCAGTTTTCAAGTTATATTAGAGCAAGGATAAGCGATAACACCTTCACGTAAATTTCTAAGAAATTAATTAAATATCTAAGAAATCTATTGTTAACGGATACACCGGCGTGTCCGCGGTCGTGAAGGGATTAAGACACGGATTTGATAACATTCCCGTTGAGTGCGCAATCAAATATTATTAATATACAGTGGCCGTTTGCATAATTACAAATTCCATTGATTTTGAAACTCAATCAACGCTATTTAATTCTGATAATAATTGTTATAATAAGCTGAAATGTAAAATGAAACTGTGTGTTTTCTTACAATAGGATACCGCTATTCGCACAGGTATTTTATTCAATGTTTTTTTTTTAAATATATTTAACTAGCCGACCCGGTACGCAGACGTTATCCTAACAATGTTTGGTTGGAAAATTTTAAAAACAGACTCTGGATCTCAACAATCAGCGCCATCCGCGAGATCCAAAGCCGAGAAGAAAGAACCATCCAGATAATCCTAATAAAAATATAGGTACAGAAAAAATAACATCAAAATCGGTCAAATCGACTAAGAGGATAGTGTTAATTCCACAAATTCAAGCACTGTAGTTCAACTAACAAAACCAACGACATTCATTATCATACATACACGAACCTCCTCCAAACGCCCATAGAAATACTCCGCTCTCACATAATAAAGGGTACACAGTATTACTTTCCCTAATTTCAATTTACCGCAAAACGGCGGTGTCATTTAAACAATTTTAACAAGAGCATAAATTCCACGCCCGCGTCAATATTTAGGTCGGCCGAGTGCCTCGAAGGCCTCGCAAGTCCATTTGGAGCCTAGCTATCTATTTATAGCTCTTAAACGCGACTGGTTGCTAAGCGAAATGCTTATTTACTTGAGATCTTTATAGCAAATTCCTTATTTGCCGCTTTGCGTGCAAAAGATATATATTTTAGTGGACCCCGGTCTAGTTTTCGCTGGAACTGTTATTGAAGATCTATCTATCGGCTTTTAAATTAAATGATTTTAACGATAAAATCAAGATAAAACAATTATATTTTTCCAGCAATGTCCCACAATGACCGTTCAGTATCTACCGTGACCATGATTGCTGTAACGCATTCAAAATGTCGAGAACCAAAAATCTAAATAAATTCGAAAAAATAGTTTTATTTAAAATCGAATATTCGCGTAAATCTCAGAAAGAATAATATCCTACAATTTCAACATCTCTCTAAGAGAGAATCTAACAGAGAATTTAATCCAATCAAAGAAGTAAAAGCCAGTTCAATAAACTTGTAAATTTTGCCACCTTTATGTGATTATAATGTTAAACTGAATCGTCCAAAAATATTGTAATATAAAACTCTGGTCATTGAACTTTGTTTTAAAATGTATTAATAAACTTTTATCTCAAAGCTTATATCAACATTTCATACATATCAGCGTATTGAATAACTTCGCACCGAAATGCTTCTTAAAACAATACCCAATCAAACGTGCAAAAATCTTTATACTCGTATTAGCACATATCTGGGTCAGTAGTAAATGTTAGTTTTACCTAGTTTTTCAATACTAGAACATGTACCATCAAAATAACTAGTTACTATGATCTTGGTATAACAAATGCAATAAACCATCAAATTTATGGTCATGGCAAAATGGAGGCTATAAATAAATAATTTATAGACTCTTAATATTAATTCTTCATTTTATAACAATATAAAGTATTACAATATCATGGTCCATACTCATGTTAAATATGTCAATCTATTGAAAAGCAAACGTCGCAATGCAAGTATAAGTTAGCTTTGACGAGACCTCTGAACTGTTAGTACTCAACTAAACCGTTTCTATTGAAATTTCAATCGACATTAAAACCTTTTTCAGAAAGGGCAACGTCTGCAAGTAGTTAAATATGACTTTGTTGTGTTTTGAAATTAATTTCAAAATATAAGGAGAACGATAATCCCGCTGACGTTTATGGTTACATTAATACGATGTACTGAAAGTAATATATCACAAGCACTAAAATATATGCGGTACTTGGGCGGCTGCGATATAATTCCCCGGCTGCGGTTTATAGTAGACATAAGTTGGTGATCAGATATGTCAAACAGTCTTCCTAGTCCTGAACATGGAAACTGATAGCTGTATTTGATGTCAGACAAAATGATCACACTAAAGTAAAAGGGCAGAGATTAATAAGTATCGGGTTTCAAAGAAACCGCCACCCGCGGGCAACTGTTGCGACACCAGTGTAGCGAGACAATGGACAGTAAATATTAGATTATGCGCCTGTCTCCGCAATCCCGACTTCATTAAATCTCGCCCACGGCTGCCCTCTATCGACAAAACCTGTAGGCGGCTGGTTTCTAATTTGAAATGGCCAAACCTTACTGCGAATTTATCCATTTCTTCGATCAAGTAGGAAATTGTCGTTTTACAATATGACCGCTGTCATATAACATTATTCGTAATTTAAAACGCTGATATGAATATCGTTTAAAATACACCAGCCATTACTTTTGATCATCATTCATTTGATACGATGTAATTTATATTAATTGATTACATGATTAGTATCGTATGTATTTAGAAAGTAAATTGTAACAACAAAATATGGACCTCAGCTCTGCGACTATCAATCTTTTTCCATTTAAATTATAATGCGAATAATATTTAGTTTTAGTACAATTCCTTACCATTAAAACACCATTAAAACACTTCTGATCGATATTATTTGTAACATTGACCTATCAGGTTAGTATTTTCGTTATACAATTGAAGTGTATATATATGATTTGTTTATACTATGAAGCGATTGTTATTTTCAACCGACTTCAAAAAGGAGGAGGTTCTCAATTCGACTGTATTTTTTTTTGTTTTTTTTTTTTTTGTTTGTTACCTCAGAACTTCGTCATTTATTAACCGATTTGGACAATTTTTATTTTGTTTGAAAGGGTATACTTCCAGATTGCCTTGTATGGGCTGGCACCGATTTCGAAAATATTTGGTTAGGTATGTATTTAATAGGTAACCTTTAATTACTTAGCCAAAGCACACCGACTTCGAAAATATTTGATTAGGTATGTATAGTAAATGAAAACTACCAATCAGTTATTTTTTACTTTTTAGTGCTTTTGTTTGAAGCCGGTTTTTATTTTTTTGATAAAAAGTTTTTATCATACACAATCAGTCTATTTTTATACTTGAATACTGAATGCATGACCATTCCGGTGGCACCGGTCGGACACGACGAGCGTGCGGAATGATTTACTCTACAATATCATCACAACAATTGAACTTGCTAATGAAGCTTACCAGACTGTTGGATTTGGACAAGAATCCTATTTGTTTGAAGTTAACTGTAATATCTATCTTATCTTAGACGTGTTAAAGTATATGGATAGCGTGCGGGATCTAAAGAGTTTAGTTCATGAGTGGTGTCACCGGTTGCAAGGCATTGCTGGCACCCGCCTACTTCGTACGTTGCTCTATCGGGGAAAGCTGTTTTGACTTTTGCAATCTTGTTCTGCACAAGTGTATTGTGGTGTTCACAAGGACATACATTAAGTCTTAAACAGTTCAATTTATATGAAAGTGACTTATGGGTACCATAAGTAGCTGAATTACAGCAGAGAAATCTAACATGGCCTTTTGTTGTTTCTACCATTTTGCTATGTAATACAATCAAGACTAAGAATATAATATGTATGTGAGGCGTGTAGTTTAAATTACATGTTTGTTGTTAGAGGTTTTAATTAGAACACAAGGTCAAAGTCCGCTCTCGTGAACGATATTCATTCAGAAGTAAATTGTTTCGGTTTTAAGATTTTTTTGCATTCCATCAAGGATTATCTTTTCTGATTATCTTTTAAATGATAGATTAATAATAATAATTAGCTAATCTTTTTTTTTGCATAAACAATTTTTTTTTACTTTAGATTTTAATCTCTTTCATTACTATTACGCGCGCCAGTATAATTAGACTATTTTATTCAAATGTCTTATGTAGAACTAGCGACTCACCCCCTCTCCGCTCGGGTTTGTCCCTTACTTACACTTACATTTTAACGTTTAGTATAGATTTCTCCGAAATGAGATATTTTCCCGCAGTAAAAAGTATTCTATATGTTGACCCGGATAACCAGCTATCATGATACGAAATTTCATCAAAATCCCTCCAGTGGTTTTTCGTGATGCGTTAACAGACAGACAGACAAAAATTCTAAAAACTATAGATTCGGCGTCTGTATCGATAATAGTGTCTATTTCAATAAGATTTTCCAAAAAATATTTAATGTACAGATTCGGCTTCGTTACAATTTTATTATAAGTATAGATTTAAAGGGTATAATTTCAATTCCTTATAAATTACGAATTAACTTTATTGTATTCACAGTTAATGTTAACAAACTTGTATCTCAAACAAATAATCTAACCGGGGGTCACGATTACACTCACGGCCACTTGCTTCACCCAGACATTTTATCTGCAAATCCGTGATCTATTTTGTTACCACCCTTTTTTTAGGTACATCTTAATTATCAGTAACTCAAGATTAGTTTTATAGATAGATACTTTCTATATCAACTGTATAAAATCGATAGAGAAAATGAATTATCCATTAACTAATTTTCGCACACGGCTTCGCTTGCGGTAGATGTTTCATAAAATGTAGTTTGCGCTATACAGGATAAAGATTGTATCTGTTCCTGTCAATTTCTTGCCTGTAAATTCTCCACACTAAGAACTCTTACAGTTGGAGCTCTTACATTGTGAAGAATAAACAAACACACATTCAATTACCTACTTTATCTATATTATAATTCTTATTTATAACCTTAGTCTGATTTTATTTGTATTTATATCTTAGGTATTCTAACTTTTACTGAGTGTGTATCTGATCCGACGTTGTGGTCGGAATGTTGCAATGGCATAGGATTCGAAACCGCAAGCATTGCGCAATCAAGCCCAATCAATACACTATTGTAAAGTGAATTTGTGGAAATAACTCGAATGACAATAATATTTAGTGCTGAAGTGCGAAGTAAAGTACAACAAGTAATAACAAACAGGTTTCATTTCATTTTAGAAGTCAGATCAGAATATTGATACAATAACCTGAGATAATATTCAATTCTGTATTTTCAATATAATTTAGTATATATTTTATTAATACTGAAGCAAACCGCCCTCGCTGCGGCGCCTCAGTGAGCGCCCGCCCGCCCACAATATCATCTACTGCTGATAAAAAATAAACACCTCTACTTTTGATAAATAAAATTTACTTTGTTGCTTGTTATCATTGCGTGCGTATATTGCGTGCCCTTGGTGCGTTTAATTTTTTTTTCTAAGCAATACCCCAGTTCTTTTCAAAAATAAAAATGGCCTTCTCCTTATAACATCAGCTATCTGCCAGTGAAAGTTTCGTCAAAAACAGTCCAGCCGACAGACAAATAAAATTAAAATTGTGTTTTTCTTATAAGTACCTACCGTATATAATGTCATATGCATTTAATGAGTCGATGTTATTTTATATAATAAACAGACACTTTAATACTTTTTATTTATCTGTGAAGATATTTTTTTTATCTAAACAGCTATTTATCTAACTATCTGTGAAATTCTAACTCTAAATCTCTACTTTAACAAATGCTATGTTTTTCAAATGTGTTCGATTATTGAATGACATATCTAGTATATATTTTAAGAAGAATCCCATGCCCAAAGTAGAAATTACGTCAAAACGAGTCGATATTTATATAATATTATCTATATTTATTAACTTTAAGTAATTCATGTTATCAACACTGTTTTTAGTGCATGTTGTGTTCTCCAGTAATTGGGGGTACATGTTAAACACTATCCAAAGAGCCTGTATTTTTTGTATATTTATGTACTTCTGCTGGAGATCCTTAATAAATAAATAAATAAATAAATAAATAAATAAATAAATAAATGAATGAATGAATGAATGAATGAATGAATGAATAAATAAATAAATAAATAAATAAATATTAAATGTAATTATTCAATATTTGAAAGTTGTACTACTATGTAAAATACTTAAACATTAAATATTAAAGGCATCTAATTTAAATCTTTATTGGCTGATACAGTAAACGGCAATAAAGTGTAAGTGCTCTCTTAATTTGAGTTAAATATAACGACGAAAGAGAAGTTAGTACTCAATCTATTCCACAAGCAAAACATTAAACGATGCATGACAAAGACTGTAATATACTTAGTATAATTTATTCTACATTTTATGGCCGATTGATGATATTTGCTATCAGCAGAGTTAATAGCCTGATAACTGGGGTTGTTCGAGAGTGTATTTTATTTTGTAGTTTAATTACGTAAATGAAAGTTTAAAGTGTAATATTAAATAAAATTTGTTTCTATCACTGACGACTTATTAAAGTGAGAGTGACGTATCTATGTATATCCATTTATGTTGTTTGTTCTGCAATATAATTGATTTATAATATTATTTCTCTGGCACGTTTCTACCGCTCTAGCTTTGCCATTATCTTTTAGATTTTTAAAGTACCTATTAATACATAATTACTTTAAAAATAGATAAAATTATATTTGGATGCGTTTTTTTTTTTTAGTTTATATTAGATCACTCTTGAGGTATACTTATTTACTTGATTAAAAAAGATTCATAATGGATTAACAGTTAAAGAAGAGGTCACTTATATAAAAACATAAACAAAACTAAGTTATATCTAACTGAATTCAATAACATATCTTTTTTAAAGTCGATCAAACAGACCCCCCTACAAAATCGTATTAGACATATCGATAAAGATATTACTGGCATAAAATATTAAATTATAAGGCAGAAACATTCATTATATTTATTCATGAAGGTAGATAGAGAAAAGACACCTCTTAGCTTTATATTTTAGACTAGCGTTGGGCTGATTCCCCATTTTTATCCCCATTTTCACCCCCTTAAGGGATGATTTTCGAGATAAGAACTATCCCGTGTCCTTCCCAGGGTCTCAAACTATTTTTTTACCAAATATCATCTAAATCAATCTAGTAGTTTCGGAGCTTATTCGGTACAAAGAAACAAACAAACAAAAAATCTTTCCTCTTTATTTTATCTATTTAAAATTAGTTGGTCCATACATTTAATTATAGGCTTGTATGATTAGAACAACCCTACTAATATAACTTCCGACTACATCAATACCATGGTTCATTAACTTTTATAACTCTTTTGTTTTATAGTTCTTTGGTGTCATTAAACTTTATTGCAAGCAATATAATAGTATATTACCACTATAAGTTCAATAGGAAAGTGTACTCTTGAAGCTTATTTGTTTAATTACACATAATTACATGATAATTTTAAATTTTGTACCTTTCATTAAACATCGAAAACCATTACAGAATTAATAACTTAATAAAATGGTCGTTAAACTGTGTTATGCCTTTTTGTGATGTGTTCATTTCTTGGTGATTTTTTGCATTTTTAATAGCAATAGCTTATATAATTTGTGATTCTTTAAATTGACATAACTTTTTTATGTATGAACCGATTGAAATAAAACAGATAATAAATGTTAAGTAAAGCTTACCCCACAACACATTAGTGAAAACCGCAGCCACATCGATTAAGCCGTTTCTGAGATTAGCGCGTACAAACGCACGGATAAACAGATAAAGATTCTAAAAATTATATGATTGTTTTGGGTTCTATTGCGTTAATAAGGACTCCCAATAATAGTTTTTATCAAATATCTTCTATGTACGGACAGCGTTCAGTTACACTTTTATTATATGCTAGCGATGCCTTGATTCCCCATACAAACTTTCATTCTCATTTTCACCCCCTTAAGGGATGATTTCCGGGATAAAAAGTATCCTATGTCCTTCCCAGGGTCTCAAACTATCTTTTAACCAAATTTCATCTAAATCGGTTCAGTATATCCAGAGATTACCCCCCTACAACGTCACAAACTCACAAATTTTACCTCTTTTTAATATTAGTATAGACTCTAGGAAAACAAAAACAAACCGTACGTTTTTCCGGGATAAAAACTAACCTATGTGTTATTCCAGACTATACCTAATCTATCTCTGTACCAAATTTCATCCACATCTGTTCAGCCGTTCTGGCGCGAAAGAGTTACAAACATACATTCATACATCCATACACACAAACTTTCACATTTATAATATTAGTATAGATATAGATAATTCTACAATTAACACTTCGTATGCTAATTTCTTCGCGAATCTTATCTTTGCGTCTCATTCAAATGTTCACCTGATTCTAAAGGCACGATTAATTGCTATCATTAAGTATGAAACTGCGCCAATACAACACTTGAGGGTTCAAAGATCGAAAATACTGTACCTAATAATAAAATGTTATTTTCATTAATGTAAAGTATGGGAATTAAATTCTTTTGTCCGATAATTTTTACCCACTTCCAAAAGAAGGAGGTTCTCAATTCGTCGGAATCTTTTTTTTATGTATGTTCACCGATTACTCGAAGACGCCTCAACCGATTTGGATTTTTTTTTGTTTCAAATGTATACTTGCCAGGTGGTCCCATATAAATTTTATCGAAATCGGTCAAGCGGTTTTTTTTTAAATCGATAAATAAATTATTTTTTGAAATAAAATGCTTAATCGAATATGTCATTAAAAAACTTTCTTCTAACAAATTACCTGCTTATTACGTCTACACTAAAAATGGACAAATAAAAACTTAAAAGAAAAACGACTTTCAGGCACTAAAATGTAAAAAATAACTAAACGGGGGTTTTCATTTAGAATAGATACCTAATTAGATATTTTTGAAGTCGGTGCCAGCCATATTTTAATTTTTAAGATTTGAATATCTAATAGGTAAATATGTGTTTTACGTATCGAAATTATTAGATTTGCTTTGCATAGGCTGGCACCCATTTCGAAAATATTTGATTACGTATCCATTCAAAATGAAAACTTCGTTTTATTTTTTACATTTTAGTGCCTGGAAGTCGATTTTTTTAAGTTTTTATTAAAATAAACCTTGCATATTATAAGCTAGCAACCCACTATTGCTTTACTCAAACCTCTACAGCGACCTAGTTCTTATTCCATAGAACTACATGATATCTGGAATAAAAAGAATCTCACGTCACGGAAATTTTGTAGTTTTTTTAAGCGGAACCCTAATCCTTTCTTTAAAATAATAGTAGCCTACATACTCCTTGTAACATCAGCTATCTGCCAATGAAAGTCCCGTCAAAATCATTCCAGTCAACCAGTCCAGCCGTTTAGGAGATTAGCGGGAACAAACAGACGACAGACTCAATTTTTAATAATTGTGTTTTTCTAATAAATACCGTTTATAATTTTATATGCATTTAGTAAAAAGTTATTATTTTGACATTACAGACAGACACTTTTAAAATTTTGTTTTATAGTTCCAAAGTTTACCACTCATGTCAAATCTAATAAAATTGTTTTAATTGTAGTATGTACTAGCATTGCCCGCGGCTCGCTCAGATAACCAAAAGCCAAATTCTTAGGTTTTACATATTAGTATACAGTACATTGTAGTTTTTGTATTTTTTCTCAGAAATGAGACATTTTTCCGGGGTAAAAAGTATTCTAGATGTTGACCCGGATAACCAGCTATCACCATACCAAATTTCATCAAAATCCCTCCAGTGGTTTTTCAGTGATGCGGTAACAGACAGACAGACAAAAATTCTAAAAACTAGAGATTCAGACTCTGTATCGATAATAATGTCTATTTCAATTAGATTTTCCAAAAAATATTTAATGTACTGTATTTAATTCGACTTAGTTACAATTTTATTATATGTATTGATTATTAAAGATATTTGCTGTGCCGTTAACACACAACATAAACTAGATCTTTAAGATGAGCTATTAACGTCAGCTCTACATGTAGGTATGTATATGTAAGTATGCGCTAAGTATCCACTCGACGTAACGGGGTGCACCGCATTCCACACTTCACGAATACCGATATATGGCCAAACAAACATTGTATTGCACCTTGCTTTGTTGTTGTGTAAGGATGTAATTAATTTAGACAAACGAAACTAAATAATCTTAGAAATAATTATTGTTGCACCAAAAACGATGGGTTTTTTTGTCTTAATTTAGGACCTCATACCAAAAAAAACCTTTTTTAATAAAAATGGCACAATAACTTGCATGTACGAAAATCATTTGAAATTAATATTAAACCCTTTAGAATGGATATATTTTTGTAATTTATATGCATAGCCATTAAAAAAACAAGAAAATCTATTATCTATTGGCGAAGATATCATTTACATATATACAAAAAAAACAGCCGAATTGACTAACTACCTTTTTTTTTTTAACGTTGGGAAATGCATTTACGCACGACGTGTGGGACTCACCGGCAAAGCCAGTAGGTACTACCCACTAAAACCCAACAAAGCCTTCCCCCGTCTTAATGGGGCATCGCAGGATCGCTTACGCATTCAACTACGACGCCCCGACGGCAGGTCTACCAAAGCAGACCACAACAACCACGGGGTTGCTCCAAGGTCCACTCTGCTATCAAAAAAAGTACCAGGAGCAACCCGCATGGTACACCGCCCTCCGAAGAGGGCCACCTCCCACCACCCACCGAAGTGGGCCAACTCCCTGTGCGTTTCTTGGCTTCGCGCCCGGTTGGGTTGCCGGGCACTACTGAGCCCCCTACCACGACAAGGTGAACGCACGTTGGGGGGGGGAGAATTGACTAACTACCTACTTACTACAATTTAAAGTCGGTCAAAACTATTTATTCAAAATATAGGTATGGTTATGTGATATCGAATACACACTAAAATATATATTAATTGCACAATTGAGATATTTTTATTTTGGTATAAATTTGGTGCCTATACATTCAACGATTTCTCGTCAACGCAACTACGGAAAATGTAATTTTATTTGAAATTCAGCAGATGTAACATATTCTTTTGCAATATTAGATGAAGAAACGAAGAAAGTTTCGCGAAATCGCAAACTATAAAATAAAAACAATAACTCTATAAGCGAATATCGAATCTTTAAAATCAAAGTTTGATATATAGATACGTATATCAATATATAGATATATCTATATTAAAGTGTGAATCAGTGTGTCGGTCCGTGTGTGAGGTTAGGTTCGTTTCCGTGATAGGCCACTATCGCCAATGCGGCGGCGGCGCGGGCGGGATGTCACCGCCGCGGGCACTGCTGGCGGGACTGCTCCTCTGCCAACTACTCTCATACGGTGGCCACCAAGGACTCACCAAGATATTTTACACGTAAGATATTGGTTTACGATATTTTGTCGCATTTTTATCGATTAAGTACTCTCCCTACAGAGGCACAGCTTCATTTAGTCCCTCAACGACCGCAGACACGCCGGCGTTACAGTTAACAATAGATTTCTTAGAAATTTAATCAATTTAACCGATTTTTAACCCCCGACGCAAAAAGAGGGGTGTTATAAGTTTGACGTCGATGTCTGTCTGTGTGTGTGTGTCTGTCTGTGGCATCGTAGCTCTCAAACGGATAGACCGACTTCAATGCGGTTTTTTTCATTTGAAAGCCATATTCCTTGCGGTGGTTCTTACCTATGTCTGGTTAATATCGGTCCAGCAGTGTAAGAGTAACAGCTCTTTTCCAAAATGATGTAATGTATTTTGGTGTATGATTACTCGATTAAGTGCTTCACTCGTGCCACTGTATAAATCGTCAAATGACAATTAATGCGTACATAATAAAACAATTTCTTTAGTTTTAAAAAGAAGTATATACATATTATGTCATACATTATATTGTGTAATAATATATAATGTATTAAGTTCACAGTGTATCGTATTTACGCGCCATCTCATAAACAAATCTCAATGCTATCGATATTATTAGCCAAGTCGTTAATTTGATCATGACTTGGGAATATACGCGGTATAGTTTCAAAGCTAAAACAAAATACATATATAACACTAGCAGTACCCGTGTCTTCGCTCGCGCTAAAACTATAAAAAAAAACTAAAAAGGTAGGTTTCATACAAACTTTCATACCCTATTTTACCCTCTTATGGGATGAATTTCGAAAAATGCTAAAACACGTATTTACTTAATTATATTGAAGAGCATTAATACCAAGTTTCAAGTAGTTCTGTTCATAAATATTTTTTTGGGTTGTGTTATAACGTGTTTTCCCGTGGGAATGAGATGATCTCCTGAGATAAAAAGTAGCCTAAGTCACTCTCCAGCTCTTCAACTATCTCTATACCAAAAATCACGCCAATCCGACACTCTGTTTCAACGTGAAAGAAAGACAAACAAACAAATACACTTTCACATTTATAATATTAGTTTGGATTACTTCTATTACTTGTGACTTACCATAATAGTTCCTAGCTCGTGGAAGGCCAGTGGTAGTCGCTTGTGAAACCGAGTGAAGTGGGTTCAAATCCCACGTCTCGCACCTCTAATATTTACATATACGAATCATTTACAACATGATTACCACTTGTCTTACGGTGAAGGAAAACATCGTGAGGAAACCTGCATGTTTGGGAGAACCTAGCAAAGTTTTCGAAAGACATGTGACAGACAGACATGTGCACTTGGCTTGCGTGGCGGACTATGGTCTAGTCCTCTCTTATTGAAGGGAAGCCCGAGCCCAGCAGTAGGAAGTTAAAAAGGGCTGTATACAAACACTAGCTGTGCTTGGAGTGCCCTTTGTATATATATTATATACAAGCAGCGCCGCCTTTTGACAAATTTTATTACTAACTGTAGCCTGCGTATGAGTTACTCTCGTAGTCTGTGTACTAAATTTTATCCAAATCTATCGAGCCGGTTTTGCTTGCAAGAGTAACGAACATACACACATATATAAACTTTCACGTTAGTAATAGTAGTGTTATTCATGATATTATTACAATTTACAGGTTTATAGGTTTATGGTATTTCCCTCGCGGGGAAAGCAGAGAATAATGGCGCTTTAATACGTTTTCCGTTAATCGTCTGTACTGAGACACTGCGTGGGTGGCCTTATTCTAAACCTAGTTTTGTTTTAACTAATGTTCAAAGTTTTACCCTACATGTAATCGAACCCGTGAACTTCAATGTTAAAGAATGTGTCAGTAGAAAACATCTTTTTTGCGTTGTGGTTGGTCTTTCTATTCACTGCAGAAAATTACTGTAGTAGAATATGGAGCCCAGACAAAGCGGAAACGTGTGTTTACTAGCGTAAAATTATTATGTTTTATTACTTTGCCAAGTAAATATAATAGTAACATCTAAAATTATACTTAACTGATAACCGTTTAAAAGTCAATTTTTATATAATTGCATATATTTGAATGCAATCGGTATAATTATTATCTACCTTTTATACACGACGCCATACCCACTCTCCAAGTTTAATAGTTTAGCCTAAATAGTTTCTACAATGTAATAAATCTCAATATAAAAATATTGTGTTTGTAAAACATTGTGACAAATATAATTAAATACAAAGATATCAGATACGCTTAGTCGACGAAATTTGATCATTTATGCCTAACAGTAATAATAAATAAAATACTCGACCATCTTGGACAGATTTTCATCAAGCATAGCTAGAAACACTACCGACTAATTCACCTTTCAAACAAAAAATAAATAAAATCAAAATCGGTTCAGGAGCTATGACGCCACAGACAGACACACACAGACACGTCAAACTTATAACACCCCGTCGTTTATGCATCGGGGGTTAAAAAATATAAATCGAATTGATAACCCCCCTTTTTTAAGTCGGTTAGAGCGTGTTATAAATATTGTTTTTTTTTTCATACTTTGATGTTTTTATATATGTGTAAAAAAAATCTGTTTTATAAATTTCTTGTTGTCTATTCTATGTGTATGCAGGGCCGGATTTTACCTTAGCGCCGACCCTGGGCACAGTAAAAAATGCCGCCCTATTATCGAAATTTTGAATAAAATGTTGAAAGTTTAAATTTTTAATTATTAATTTTTCGAAAAATGCAAAAAAAAATGATATATGATATCAATTTTTCGAAAAATGTACCCACAAGTTAATCTTCTTTTACCTTTCATTTTTTGGTAAATTAAAAAAAAAGCATTTACGTTAACGCGAAGAAAACTTTTTTCCACCCTCCGAATTTTGCCGCCCCTAAAAATTTGCCGCCATGGGCACTAGCCCCGAGTGCCCCTAGAGTAAATCCAGGGCTGTGTGTATGTATATTTAAATTAGTGGAAACTTTGCTGGTTTGTGTAATATTTTATCTGTGATGTACCTACTTATGTTATAAAATACTGTGTTTCCCAAATAAAATATAAATAAAAAAAAATTGTGGTCCCGATGTAAATGCAATCAAGGACGTAAATTTCAACTTAAGGTTACTGCTCTGACGGGTTATCAAGCGATTTCTTGTTTTGATAACATCTTATTTTATTTTTCTCTTAAAAAAACTCTTATCGATTAAATTATAATGCAGTTTAAAAAACGAATATTGTATCGGCGACAGAATTGTGTTTAGGTATAGTCCATAATGTATATATTATCATGGACTCGTTTTATGCAAAGTCTTTAAAAAACAACATTTTAATTTAATAATATACGTATTATATTTTCTGATTTTAAATGGAGTAGGTATTATTTATTTTATATAAATATGTTAGGACATTAACACACAACACCATCTTGTTCCATGGTAAGCTACGAGGCTTGTGTTATGGATACCAGATAGTTGATACACTACGCATATATAAGTTTAAATACATACATATTATAAATATAAACACCCACGACTGGAGTACAAACATTCGTGCTCATCACACAAATGAATGGCTCCAGCGGAACTCGAACCCGCGACCGCTGGTACAGCAAGTAGGGTCGCTATAAACTGAGCCAGTTGTGTTGTCAAAATATAAATTAATGATTCGTATATAATTATTTTATATATAACTAGCGATTCACCCTCGCTTCGCTCGGGTTTGCACCTAGCTTGATTCCCCATATAAATTTTCATCCCCATTTTCACCCCCTTACGATGGTTTCCGGGATAAAAAGTATCCTATGTCCTTCCAAGCTCAAACTATCTTCTTACCAAATTTCATCTAAATCAGTAGATCCAGAGATTACCTTCTACAAACTCACTTTATAATATTAGTATAAATTATTGATTTAGAACTAAAGTACAAAAAAATATTACTTTTAATGGAGCTTTCTTCAATAAATACAATGATATCTAATTATATAAATTGGCTTCTGTACGTAGTTTGGAGGTCAGGTGTTTTCTATTAGCCTAGTAATATTGTTGAAAATTTTCATCTCGTGAAATTACTCTTCACGTTAACGAAGTGGTTAATCAATATTCAATACATACTCGTAACTGTTATAGACAGCGGTATTTATAATAATATTCAAGTCGAATTGTTAAACGTCGGGAACATAGGTGTTACCGATTTAAATTTTAAACACAATTAAGTTATCTATACAGATATATAAAATTGAAGTGTCCGTTTGTTATATCAAAGTAATTATTCATATGAAATTATATACGGTACTTATGGTAGAAGAAAAACATATATTTTTTAAATTTTATCTGTCTGTCTGTTTGTTCCGGCTCAGCTCTGAAGCGGATGGATTGATTTTGACGGGACTTTCATTGGCAGATAGCTGATGTTATAAGGAGTAACTTAAGCTACTTTTATTTTAGAAAAAGAATTAGGGTTCCGCTCAAAAAAACCCGACGAACCCGAGCGAAGTGAGGGTCAGTCGCTAGTCTATACTAATATTATAAAGAGGCAGAGTTTGTTTGTTTTTTTGTTTGTTTGTTTGAACGCGCTAATTTCAGGAATCTACTAATCCGATTAGAAAATTTTTGTCTCTGTTTATTGAGGAAGGCTATAGGCTATAATATATCATCATGCTACTACCAAAAGGAACGGATGGTAAATGCCTTTTTCATAAAGTCAGATTTTTTTTGTTGTTTTAGCGCAAGCAAAGCCGCGGGTTCTGCTAGTATACATTAGCAGTGTCATAATAGCGTTGCGCTATCAATGAAAGTATGTATTGATTTCAATACATAGGTACTTTCATGGACAGGCGCCATCTATTGAAAATTTTGGAACTAAAATAACATTAATGTTGAACATTTAAAAAATTTCCTCGGTCCTATGACGTTATCCCAGGACATACATCTTACTATGTGTTATTTTTATATGTAGTATCGTCATCATCCATTCTGTTGAACGGTACGCGTGATTGAGTAACAAACATCCAGACATTCTTATAAACTTTCATATTTATAAATATTACCTAATAGTAGGATAAACAAACAAGTCAAATGAATTTATCCCAAAGAGACTTTAGCCTTTAGATGACTAAATAAATAAATATTAATTGCTCAGAAATAATGCTAAATAAGATATTAAAATAAGAGAGATCGAAATAGAACACTGTAAAAGCAGATTCTAATTTGATCATTATGTGGTTAGCAATACTGTATAAATTCATTTGTAATATGTAATACCGTGCGCGTTTATGAAATCGCGCACCGTGGGAAGTCAGTCAGCTTAAAGAAATCGCTGTGATAATTTTTTATTTGACAGAGGTAAGCTGCCACCTGACATTCAACTATGAGATTCTTACTCACTAAAACCCATGACGGAATTCTAACGTAAGGCATTAGGGCGTTATAGGATCGCTTGGGCATTGAAAATTTTAAAATTAAAGCGCGCTCAAATGTTCAAATGAGCGCTCATTCGGTAAGGACAGTTATATCTAGTTTATATATTAGTACGTAGATTGTATATCTAGTACTTTTTTGATCGATGCAACATCTAGAAAAACAAAGAGGATAGTCGGTAAGAAAGTCGGTATAAGTATTTAATCTGATTATGAAATGAATTACTAGGGATAAAACTCACTTATATTATTAGTTACTAGAATTGCAAGTGGCTCCGCCCGCGTTCAGGTGACCAAAAACCAAATTCTTAGGTTTTACCGATAAATATACTCTTACAATGCAGTTTTTGCATTTTTTCTAAGAAATGAGATATTTTCCCACGGTAAAAAGTATCATATATGTTGACCCGGATAATGAGCTATCATCATAAAAAAAATCATCAACATCTATCCAGTGGTTTTTCCGTGATGCGGTAACAGACAGACAGACAAAAATTCTAAAAACTATAGATTCGGCCTCTGTATCGATAATAAAGTCTATTTCAATAAGATTTTCCAAAAAATATTTAATGTACAGATTCGACTTAGTTACAATTTTATTATATGTATAGATTATCTTAGCTGCTATTAAAAATATGAATTTATTTCATATAAACGCAAATATGTATATAATATTATGTTTTATTTATGTATTGATTTTAAGAACCTGTTCGCTGTAAAACATTCGAAACGATAGAAACAAAATCTTAAATAAGACCGAGACAATCGAAAATTATAGTTTCATTTAAAATAACTATTTTGAGAACGCCCGCTTTCCAAGTTCCCACATCTACACAATATTGCAATTGGTGCACTGATTGTCTCAATCGGTCGCTTTACTACAGTGTACTGTCAGAATTACACAGAGAGTTCAACGTTAGAAGACAACAGTCTATTTAAATACTTGTGGACATTTTTATTTTTTTTAAATGGATGTATTTGGTAGCGTATTGGCTTATGGTTATTATTACCCGAATGCGCCAGAAGAAGGGTTGTTTTTCGTGTGTATATATGTATGTATATTTATTTCTTCGGCACGCTCTGTAGTCTTGGTTTGATGGATTTTAGCTTGAGTTTTGATCGTGAGAGTGACACTGGGTAGGTATATCAATATTATAAAAAAAAATGGCCGATTTTTGGCCCCATGTTATACAAGCAGTTATTATAAAATATGTACTATTGCATGTCTCCGACTGCATAATTCTATGTTCCTTCATCAACCTTTTTTCATCTTTTTAGTTTGAATTTTAGTCAGTTGGTTTTTTTTTGTAAATATTTTTATTGTATTTTAAGAAGAGTATTTTTATTTACATCTAAAGTCTTGAAATATTTCAATAAGAGTGAGAAGTACTATATTTTCTAAGCAATTTTTTTTTTCATTTTACATTACACGATTCTTAGCTTATTAATTAATTAGCAAAATAGAAATCCGTCATGAATATTTTGCTCATTTTGTTTTGACTTTGTATTTGCTTCTATAGGATATCAAATCAATTAATTATCGATTTCTAACTGATTTCAATCGATATTTTATTGATTTCGGAAATGATAATGTAAGGAACTAACAAAAAACAAAGCAAATTGTGAACTGACAAGCATTTTCTAATCATCCGAATAATTACTACTAAGTTAGGTTTTATTGTATTTATAAAAATGTACTCCATGTATATGTATACCTACTATTTAAAACAATTATGTATCGAATATTTTATGACATATTGAAATTAATTTTGTTTATCTATCTTTCCAGGTTACCTGACACGGGGCAGCCTCCCATACTCATCTCCTTAGTGGAGAACGCGAAATTGGATTTAAGGCCACCAGACGACTTATTGTTCGTCAATGATTCCGAACAACACAATGAGACAACTAGTTTTGCGATCGTGGATAGTGCAGCTGATGAAGAAGAAAAAACAATCGGCAGCGTGGAAAAAGAAAGTACGGAGCCTCGGCTCGTAGTAAAAGCTAAGCCCATGCATGAAACCCGACAAATAGATGATGCATTTCAAAGTACCACTTCCGTACCAAATGTAGAGGTCTCGGTAGAATCTCACCCTGAAGAAAAATTAGAAGAAAGCACTCCAGCAAAACAGGAGACACCTCAAGAAGATATTCCATCATTTTCGGAATGGGCCCAAAAACAATTAGCAGAAGCCGAAAAACAGGATACCGTACTGAATCACTCGAGTCAACCTAGTCATAGTAATACAAATTTTAGCAGCAAAAGCACCAAATTACGGTCAAAAAATTACGCATCGCTCGCATGCGGCGCGAAAGTAGTCGCAGTCAACCCTGAGGCGGTGTCAGCTAGTTCGATACTGTCGGCCACAAGGGATGAGTATATGCTCAACACGTGCACTAGCCGCATTTGGTTCGTCGTGGAGCTCTGTGAAGCTGTTCAAGCGCAAAAAATAGAAATAGCCAATTTTGAGCTTTTCTCCTCAACGCCCAAGGACATCGCTGTGTATTTCAGCGATCGTTTCCCCACTAGGGAATGGACGGACGTCGGTCAGTTTACTGTACAAGATACTAGAGAGATACAAAGCTTCGATTTGTATCCTCATTTGTTCGGAAAGTTCATCAAAGTAGAAATGCTTTCCCATCACGGTTCTGAGCACTTTTGCCCGATTTCTCAGTTCAAAGTTTATGGTACTTCGGAATTCGAAGTGTTAGAAAAAGAGAGTTCTCAACACTCTGCTCATATTGATGATGATGAAGATGATGAGATAATAGACATCCCCGACGTTCCTGCTGCCGAAGTGGAACCTTCAAAGAACCTGTTCGGTTCTGCGCGAGACGCAGTGATGTCTATTATGAAAAAAGCTGCTCAAGCATTAGTTAAAACTGAAGTTCCTAAAAATGTTTCCAGTGAACGCAATGACACGTCGACAGACAGTATGTACAAAAAGTGTTGTTCGCCAAGCCATATAATAGTGTGTGATAATTGCAGTGAAACGCTCTATAATGATGTGTATGAACTGCTTAGTTGTAGCTCGGACAGATTGACGAGTTTAGTGCGCACAGTGTTCCTAAGAGACACTTTAAAGTGTACAAGTGTATGTCAGACTTATGGTTTAGATTTTAAAAGTACAAAGACTATAGAATTTGGTGACGAACGTGTCGCTTATATTAACGCTTTGTTCCCGCCTAAGTATTTAGCGGCTTTGTGTAACATTCTTGCGATTAAAGAGAAGAAAGTGGTTTTGAATACCAGTTTCGAAACTGAAATGAATGTTACATCTAACGTAACTGTGGAGGAAACTCCTCAAAATGTAAGTAGTGAAACAAATTCAGAACAAGTCATATTAGTACCAATTAAGAATGAAACAGGGGATGATAAGAATGATAGTACAGCACAACCCGATGACAAAACTATTGTACCTGAACAAAAAATTGACAATTTACCCATAGAATTACCAAAAGATGAGAAAGATAAATCAGATACGTGTAAAGATGATATCCAAGCAATTCTAGAAGAGAAGCAACCCACACCGGAACCTCAAGAAGATCCTGTTTCAGAAGAGAAACAGATGGAAACGAATAATGAGAATGAAAATAAAGATAACTCAAAACCTGATAGTAAGAATAGTAAAGATATAATAATTGAAAAGTCTAAAGAAACAAGTAATGCAGATGAATTGAATGATCAAGTTCTTATAGATAGTGAGAGTTTCATATCAGATTTGGACTCGATAGCGGTGGACCCCACGCCCGCGGGCACTCACGCTGCTTTGAACCAAAACCAAGCGCAGGCAACTCTACAGAAAGAATCAGTATTTTTAAGGCTGTCAAACAGAGTAAAGGTAAGTGTTCCATTATATAAATAACTTTTAATTACCTGTTATAAATATCACCTCTGCCCCATTAGTCTAGCATACGGCTGTAGATCCAGAGTTACTGGGTTCGAGTCCCTTGTCGGGCAAGTAGCGATCCACGATTTTGATGTATTTTATTATTAGTATTGAATATATATTTTTGTGTTGAACACCAATGGGAAGTAAGTGATGGACAAAGTGTAGTAAAATCTAAATATAACGCACTTTCCGACTATGAAAGGAATAGCATCAAGCAATAAAATCTCATAAACAATGTCACTCTATAAGTACTACTAATATTTTTGTTAAATGTTCATAATCCATCATATATTTGTCTATGATTATTTCTTTCACTTAGTGTTGATAAATCGCAGCACAACATAAATCATTCGTACCATGCTTTCTAAAATGGTGCTTTACAAATCCACATTAGTATTAACGATTTATAGGTTTACATAAATATTAATGAGTCATAACAAGTAAATTGTTGTAATTTATATGAGGTCTACAGTAAATTTATGTATTTTCAATTTGTTTTTGTTCATAAACCAGTCTATTAGATGTTACGAATTGTTCCATAAATTTATATTCAAATTTGCCTAACATTATTTACACTTAAAATGTTCATTTTAAAATAATATTTGTTATTATTTGACTAAATAATATTAATTTTCTTATACTCAAGTCAAAGCTAAACTATAGTTTTAAAGGTAATTATTTTATCGACATTGATGTTAAAAGTACATTAAATATTTATTAATTCGTTTAATTTATTAATTTATATAACTTTATTTTCAGACACTAGAGAGAAATATGTCTCTGTCGGGACAATATTTAGAAGAGTTGAGCAGGCGATATAAGAAACAAGTGGAAGAAATGCAGAAGTCTTTCGAAAAGACCATGCTGCATATGACTGATGAGAGAAGAAAGACTAACGAGCGAGAGCAGAAGTACTTAGAGCAGATGACGAATTTACAAGACCAACTCGCACAAATGACGATAGCTATGAAACTTCTCATGGAAGAAAGGGACAGTTGGTTCGGCAACATATCCTTCACCAAGTTCATCATATACCAATCAATCATCATCACCATAGTCTTTTATTATATGTCAAAGAAGCGAAAACCGGAAACAATTCTGGTACCAATTCCAAAGAAAATAAAGAAAAGGCAGGACAAGTTTAGAAGAAAGTCCGTCGAAGGTGTCAGCGGTCACGCGACTCCATCGACCAAAAAGCGAAGGCCTAGCGAAGAAGCATTCCAAATTGCGCGACAATCTACAGATGAGATGGAGAAAGAGAATGACTCCGGTGAATGGCAAGTCGCCAAAAAGAACAGGAGACGAAAAACTTCAATCATCCACAGAAGCGTTGAGGTTGACGTTAGAGATGTCGCTCAAGATGGTATTAGGGAGTTACAAGAGAACACGATCACATTAGACGAAGGCGTCTACTTCGTCCCCGTGCCCGAGCCTAAAGAATTTCCAGATACTAAGGAAAAAGAGTTACCAAAAACAAATGGATCATTCTTTAATAACCTAAAAACTAAAACTATGAAGACAAGACGGTTGTCCTCTCCAGCCTTTCTAAGGACTTTCAACAGACAAAGCAGTAGAAGTAATCCTAGTCCAGTTGTAAGGACGTTGGAGCCCATTTTCAATGGAAAATTAGGTAAAAAGGCCTCCTCAGAGTCGCCAACAGGTAGTCTATGGTCGGAATCAACAGATATATCCCAAAACGGTCACCCGGAGAGTGAGAATGGTGGCAAAAAGAAGAAAAGCCTCAAAAACATACTTAAAAAAGTATTTTGAATTTTATACATGCTTAGTATACATACGCTGTTCATTTATTATTTTAAATTATTCTATAGGATTCGTGTTGTTTAGACCTCTATGGGTGCCAATGTGATAAATTAGGGAGCCTAATGCTATTTTGATTTATATTTGCAGTTATGTTTGCTAGAATGCCAGTATTTTGTGCATGGTTATAATGTATGCGGGGTCGGTTGTGTATAGAAGAATTATGTGAAATAATTGTTTTCTGTTATTTATGATCATATCTTATTAGGCTTTATCAAAACGAATCAAATACTGATTTTTTTTTTAATTTTGTGATTTTAACTTATTTTTTTTAAATAATGTGCGGAAGTAATAAAATTGTTGTTTTTAATACTCAATTTCTATCTGCTCCTTTTAATTTTAAAAAACTCTTCATAACAAAAAAATAAAGACTGTGTGTATCAATATGTACACGCGCAAGAAATGAAAATTCTGTAGTTTATCGGTATTATATATATTGAAATATTCATATAATACTTTAAATATTTTTTATTGACTATTTATTCACTTCCGTAACAACCGTTTCCGTTATAAAAATCGTAACGCCATTTTATTCCCTCTCATGGCGCGCCCAAAGAAAATTCACTTCAAAAAGACATTTAAAATTTAATTATAGATTTGTTATCTATTCCTAATGATCATTATGAAATATTTATTATATAGTATACTCAAATTATATATTTAATTTTATTATCAATTGTCATCTACAATATATTTAATTTTATGACTGACAATATATGGATGTGGACGCTAGTCGAGTGAGTTCGGTAAACAAAGAAGTGGCATTAAATGCATTAATTTTATTTGTAGTTTTATTTTGTATCACATAATATATTATTAAACTATATGTAACTAACAAGTTACAGTTCTATAAAATGTTTTAAAAGATGGCAGACATTATTATTTATATTACAAATCAATAGAGATATTTATGATATAGAGACCACCCTCATTCCTCTTCAGTTTTGTCTGTAGACAAAAACAAATCTATCTCACGGGAATCGTACATTTTTTCGAGATGAAAAGTTTATAAGTAAGTACCTATGTGCTATTCCAGACTACAATCTATCTCTGTGCCAAATTTCGTCCAAATCCGTTCAGCCATTCTGACGTGATTGAGAACAAATATCCATCCATCCACACAAACTTTCACATTTATAAAATTAGTATGGATATAGCGAATGCTTTTCAGTTTTTAAATAAACGTGTGTTATAAATCAATCTAAATTACCATTATAATCTGTTTCTAATATTAGTTAAATATATTGAATCTGGTAATATATAAAATTTCCAATAAAGGAAGTGTATCGATAAGGCCTCATTTTCATTTCAGAATGACGAAAAAAAATTGTCATACGATTTGATATCTTCTTTACATATGTTGAAGAAGGTGAAGAAGATAGAAAAAAAACTACAATGAATAGTAGTACTTGTGAAACCCCAAATTTTGGTCTAACAGGGATTTTCATTCAAAATGAGATATTTTCAGTAACATTCAACTCTTTTTTTTATATAGAGCGCATATAAAAGCACTTTTTATTTTATTTTAATGTTCTTATGTTACACAATATACTTAAAAATAACAGTGCTTCCATCCTGCACTCTGTATAAAAAAAAAGTTGAAATGGTACTTAAAAATGTCTCATTGCCATAAAATAAAGAGCGACCGCGGCGTCCATTTTGTTTTTTTGCGTTTCTTTATTGCGATAAACACAGACACACATTCGCCGTAGGTAGAGGCGAAGTTTTATCTCCCGAATACCTTCGCGATGAGTGCGACCGTACCATAGAAAAAGATCAAATCAAACATAATTTAAAAAATGAAACTTCTCTAGAATCGTTGGGATTTAAAACTCGATGTAACGAAAATAAAAAGGAAATGCGACACTTAAAAAGGGACAAACACATAAATATATAGGATTAAGCCGGCGAGAGAATGAGATAGAATTCATTGCCATGTTGCCATGGTAACCGATATTATTATCTGACAAACTTGCACTTTTTTTCTTCGTTATTCGGGGCAAAAATGACGCCTTATCGATACTCTTACTTTAAAACAAAGTTTCACTTAACGAATCCTATGATATAATGTTAACAGATTGTAAAAAGTCTTTCAGGTCGACACATTTCAAATTGACTAGATTCCTCTGTCTAGCAGTAACATTTAAATGTCTGGCGGTTGCTTCTAAATTTTCTAAAGTATAATTTTTACTATTTGTTGCGAACACGATTTCATTCACTTCTTCATACAGTTTAACTGTAGCTAAATGTTTAAAATGTCGTTTGAGGGTCTCCATGATTGTTTCTTGCAGACTTGTGTCTCGGCAGACTAAATTCAGGATGAAATGGCCTGAAATACAAAATACAATAAATTTAATAAATTCCGTTTTCAGGGTTTTGAATAAACATTATAGCAAAAAAAACTTGAGTATTTATTTATATTGGACCCATCGATCTAAGTACTAGATACACAATCAGCGACAAAAATGTCCTCACCGAATGTGCGCTCTTTTGAACATTTGAGCACGCTTTTATTTAAAAAAATGAAAACAATTTTAAGCCTAGCATTTAAGGTTCAATTTATATTGTTGTATATTTATTACAATACAATAATTATCTAAACACAATTGGTGACAGTTTTAAGATAATTTTTGCATGGGATTGTGTATCTAGTACTTTCTTGATCGATGATTGGACCATATACATTGTCGAAGGTAAAAAACACAAAGCAGTTTCTTCCCCAACTGGAGGACTTGTGATTAACAGTAAAAATTTAATTAATAATAATTGAATGCTAAAATTTTTTTTTTATATTTTACTTATTTGGATGAATGAGAGCCATAGTGCTTGAATTCGCCGCGAGAAGCGCTAGTGTAGAGTAACGTCTTTACAAATGTCACTGAACGTTTACTGTTTATAGGCTTTTTATCGCTGATTTTCACTAATTATTCATGATTGTTGTAAGGATTGTGCCGTTTCTGATTAACTATGTCAGACACACGGTACGGCCCAATGAATGTGTTTTAAAAGAAGAGCTAAAAAAACAATATTTTTTATTTGGCAAAAAAAATTTAGATAAACTGGTTCCGCGCCAACAGTTGTTAGTATAATAAATGTTTAACGACAGCGATAGAACATCACCAGTGGCGCCAACTTAGTGGCAGCAAAAACAAAAGCCCCCATAGGAGGAGGTGATCTTAAAGAATTTTAATTAGAATGAGTTATTACCATCATTAGTGAGCAGTGTGTCGACGTCCCGCAGTACTTCGTCGTGCAGGAAGGGCGCGGGCGGGCAGGACAGGCCCAGCGTCCGGTCCTTGCTGTCCATATCGAACATCACCGCATCATACTGCTTACCTGATGGGAAAAAAATATTTTTTAGGGTTCTTTTCCTATAAAGTATGGCTTTGCAGCTGTCTACCTACATAAATGTGTTTTCAAAAACATTAAGAGACGACTGAGATAGATGTAGGAACATTTTGACTAGCGATGGGCTTAATAGATTTATATGTTAGTGTACCGATTTGGTTTTAGTGAGAAAGAGTCTCACAGTACCCTGCCCAGCCCACTGGTAGCCTATAGAGTCATTATGGGTTTCCATAGCAAGAAATAAAAATTCCTTAACCAAAAAGAGAAAAGTAACACTCATTCTATCTATTGTTTACATAGCCTTTTTTACTTCTTTTTTAAATAAAACACACCTACAACAAAAACCGCAAAAGATACAAAAAAAAAAAATTATAACCCACAACTCACCATTAGCTGCTCCATCCTTTAAGAAATCCAGACCATCTATAATCTGTACTTCCAACCGATCGTCCACCTCCAGTTCAAAGTGGTTTTTGGCCACTTCCAACATAGCTGGGTCAAGGTCTACGGCCGTCACCTTCAAGTTTCCGTAGCATTTCTTCAGAAACATGCAGAGACTGCCCCCGCCCAAGCCAAGAACTGCCACGTTTGTGCTATTCACTGGTATCCCCACGCACATGAAGGAATGGTACAGCGATATGTGACCAAAGTCCACGACTAATTTAGTTTTATTCTTTCTTTTCACTGGAATAATAATGATGTTATCTATACAAATACTATAAAAACGAATAAAATATATGTTTGTTAGTAATGAATAAACTAAAAAACTACTGGACCAATTTTAAAAATTCTTGCATCTATCAAAAGCTACATTATCAGCGAGTAACATGAGCCATATTTTATTTTCGAACAAAATTAAAGATCCCCACGAAAATCGCAATAATACAACCTAAGGTGTTAAAAATTTGCCAATAATAGGCATTATTTGGCGTGCGTTGGGAAAACTACCGACGAACCCGAGTGAAGCAAGGGTGAGTCGTTAATTACTTAATACGTATTTCCTGCTATGATCCTGTTTGTATTTTTATCAACAACTCAACATGTAAAATTAAATTGATTTCAATTTTTTCATACATAAAAAGTAAAGGAGGAAAAACTATTTCATTTCCATTCTTATGGCGACACGTTTGGCTCAGTTTGTAGTGACGTCGCGGGTTCGAATCCCGCTGGGGGTATTTATTTGTGTGTTGAGCATGAATGTTCGTACTCCAGTCATGGGTGTTTATATTTATAATATGTTTTTATTTAAAGTTATATAATATGTGTAGTGTATCAACTATCTGGTATTCATAACACAAGCCTCGTAGCTTACCATGGAACTAAATAGTGCTGTGTGTTAATGTTGCAACATATATATTAAATTTATTAGACAGTGTTACAGAACTAAACATGAAGCCAAACGATAATGTTTTAAAGTAGTGTACAATTATATTAATAGAATACTCACTACTGTGATAAGTAAATAATTGTTCATAAATGTATCTAATAGATTTTAATATAATATAGAAAAAAATTCCTTGAAATAAAGATAGCATAATAGTAACCTATTTAATTTTTCTCTTTGTATTCAGCCCTTTTTAACATCCCACTATTGAGCACGGGCCATCCTTCAATCCGAGGGGGATCAGGCCATAGTCCACCGCGCTGGCCAAGTGCGGGCGGACTGAGCATGTCTTACAGGAACTCACTTATTAAGTTCTTTCAGACATGCAGGTTTTCACACGATGTTTTTCTTCACCGTAAAACAAGTTGGAACCGTAATCAGGTTGGAAGTGGTTCGCAAATGAAAATATCAGGGGTGCAACACCCGGGACTTGAACCCACTTCACTCGGATAGCAAGCATGTTACCTCTGGGCAACCACTTCCTCAAAATTGTACATAAATATTACTTATAAATCATTACCAGTTTTCAACTTAGCTTCAGACTGTACTAAGAACTGGTTCTCCAAGAACACCAGCCGTCTGTACGTAGACCCCTCGACATCCACATCCTCCACCACAAAGTCTCCGGACACCTTTGAGGAGCCCTCGTGCACTTTGACACGACGACCCACGTCGCTGCCAAGTGACAGAAACGGTATCTGAAGAATTAAGAATATAACTGAAAATATAAGTGATTTAAATAGATTTTCACGAACCTATTCAAACGACCATTTTTACAATTCTTTGAGTATAAACGCAAAAACTTCGAAAAATGAAGCTGCATATTTAAATCAGTACTAAATCAGTATGTATTTTAACTACCTCGGTGGTGTAGTGAAGTCCTAGGCTCGAGCCCCGGATCAGATTAAGTTCAGTTATTGAGTTTTCTCAGTAACAGCAAGGAGTCAAAAAATTCTCAATGATAGTGCGGAGTTGGCGATATTTTATCCAAATGCTCGGAGAGCACGTGTCGTCCCACCGGAGTATGAGAGAGACAGAAATAGTTTGTCCCTCACATCGAATGTAGGCCTGTGCCCAACAGTGGGAAGTTGAAAAACACACTTACTTGTCCACTAAAGCCATTTGGCACCAGCATCTTGGCAGAGTGTGCCAGCTCTTCTTTCACAGCGTCTAAGCTCTGAAAAAGATGCCCCCTTCGTAATACCGCCACAACCAATCTTCCGAAACGCGCGGAATCTTGCAACTGCCGTCTACCCGCCGGCGTGCCGAATAACCACTCTGATTCCCTGGAAAAATATTAACTACTTATTACAATAATACTTTCTTAGATTTAATAATACTTATTACAATTTTGTAATTTATCCATACCTCTGTATGCCAAATCTATCTCTATGAATCGATAACATTTAAAAAAAAAATTTAAACAATCAAGTTTGCTATAAGTTATAACTTATGTTCTTATACTTCGTTATTTATTTTAGGAAATAGATTTAAACTATTTACAATGTTAAAAGTCAAAAATCTTCGAACAATCATTTACTTCAGCTGCACTTTCTAGAACATACGAGACTACCAAAGCAAGCAACAGTAAATTATATATGCAAACATAAGCGAGATAATGCTGCGTGACTGATGCGAGTGCGACTGCCAAGTGCAGGAATTAATTATAACTTATATGAATTATTATTTAATATTACGACTTTTACTGTGAGAACATACGCTCTGGATAGGTAAATGTCAAAATATGACCCCGATAAATTAGTTCGTATATTATGTCCTCAGAAAATCTATACAGATAAATAGAATTTAAGTGACTGTTTGTGTTGTTAAAATAACTGCTTTTTACTTTTAAACACATTTTTTTTTAATTTTTTGTCTGTCTATCTGTTTGTTTCGGCTAATCTCCGAAACGGCTGGACTGATTTTGACGGGACTTTCACTGGCAAATAGCTGATGTTATAAGTAGTAACTTAGGCTACTTTTTTTAGAAAAAGAATTGGGGTTCCGCTTAAAAAAATAAAACGTACCTAAGGACGCACCCGAGCGAAGCGGGGGCAAGTCGATAGTTATTTTATAATCTTGCTATGGTACAATTATATAAAAGAGGAAACTTTATTGGATAAGTGTACTGATGAATTTTGCATTTGATGCTTGTAGGATATGCTGTTTGTTTTCCAATTTATAAAATAAATAAATCTTTGGAGCCTTTTAATAGGGATTACGTTACCGGAATGGCTTAAGCCATATATTAAGAATAACGTGTTTCTTGGATTGACAGATAATTTTTTTATGAAAATTCCATTTACAATTACATATTTTGGGACATTAACACACAGCACCATCTACTTCCATGGTAAGCTACGAGGCTTGTGTTATGGATAACAGGTACTTGATACACTACACATATATAACTTTGATTACTACATATTACAAATATAAACACCCATGACTGGTGTACAAACATTCGTGCTCATCACACAAATGAATGCCCCTAACGGGACTCGAACCCGCGACCGTTGGCACAGCAAATAGGGCCACTACAAACTGAGCCAAACGTCATCATTTTATTTTGCTCGATCTCAATTTTTCAATTTTGAATTTCCTGACCGGTCACGCTTGTGGAATATTCACAGAGCCTGTGTGAAATTTTCAAAATTTAATAAACATCACTATTTTGCCAAAAACATCACAAATTACTCTTCATTATAAAATATATTTATAATTTAAAATATTTACATAATTTTACCTTTTAATATTTGAACACAATGCACCAACAAATTAAAAATTAAGTCTCTTTAAAATTAAATCAAAAAATAAGGAAGCACTGAAATTTAAGCAAGGCAATAGCCGCTCCAGTCGCGAGCTAGAAACCGAGTGCGTTTGTTTATATCGCTGAGGAGGAGGTAGGCGAGGACTGACGAAGATATAAGTATACTATAGTAGTGAAGTTTAAATCGGTTTTAATGGCGTAACTGAGACTTCCAAAATACATCTTTACAGGTAAATATATACGAGTATATTACATGCGCAAACCAATTTTAGAACGACAACTTATTTTGTTTATTCTCAAGTTCCCTGTTGCTATTGCGTTTCGCGCCAAAAATTAATGACATAAATGGAATGCCAATTTACACAGATATAATAATTTCTTATAATTAATATTTTAAAGCACATGAAAAAAATTTTTTTTTAATAACTGTCAACTTTCACGTACTTTTTGTAGGGAATACAAAAATAATATTATGACTTATCTTTCTTCTTCACGGTTTTTCCCATTATCGAGACTAGGCTCGGAGCCGGTTTAAAAAAACGGTTTATTTCAGTAATGTAATAGTTAATTCATCGCTCGTTCTTTAACCGGTTAATGAAAACGGACGGTTTAGTAAGCCGAAATAATAATGGTTATGGGTATTCTTGGAGAAAGGTTGGATCTCGGTTTTGATACCGAAATAAATAGGTTAATTCATTCATTAGTAAGAAACGTACATATATACTATTATTAAGTCGTTAACCATTACAAAAGACGCGCCAAATGTAAACGCACAGAAATTCATTTTTGGTTATGGAACCTAAATTCATCAAAAATCGTTCATAAAAACCTTTTTCGTGTAAAAATATATGTGTCAGAATTTCAAAGTAATCGTAGAAATTTTTTTGGAGATATACGATTTTGATCTGATAAAAAATCACATGTACACCTTTACTATTAGATGTACACTTGAAGTCTAATTAATACAGAGGTTACCTAGTATTTATTTACATTAAATAATAAGAAAAAAGTAGACTTATTTATAACTAGCGACTTACTCTCGCTTCGCTCGGGTGTGTCCCTAGGTACGTTGTATTTTTTTTGAACCAAACCCAAAAATTATTATTTTTTTCAAATCGAAATAAAAAATATTATGGAAGTCCCTCTACCGGACTAGGCTTAAAAGTTGCATGATCATAATACACATTTTTAAAAACACGATTGAAAACTTAAATTTCAAAAGTCTCGATTAAAACATTTTAAATATTTTTTTATATTTTTTTTAAGTAAAGGTCATCCAAAAACAAAAATTTTGAAAAAAAATTGAACTTCGACCATTATTAAGAAAGTTATGATCAAAAAATCAACAAAAAAAGCATTATTTTTAAAAAAATCTTTTTTAACCCGTGATCAAAAAAAATTTAAAATTTACCAGGAAGCTTCTTTTGAGAGGTACTAAAAAATACCAAAATATTAAGAAAATCCAAAATATTTTTTTTTTTTGAAAAAATTCGATTTGGCGTGGAATGCCCATATGCCTTGTGCGTAAAAGTCGAACTGGGCAGTAATCCAAACGCCTCCAAGATATTTACTTACGATGCTTCTGATCTGATGCCTCAGATCTGAATAAACGCAATTGTTTACAATAACAACCTATTTTTACACCATGTTTTTAAATTCGTAACAAATGGTGTATTTGCGGTACGAATGTGGGTGGGTGTGGTTGTTTACATCGTATCCACCATAAAATCTTGACCTACATTTTATATGCGGCTGTATGGTACAGAGAGCTCAAACTGTAACTTTTGATTTACGAAAATTATTGAAATGAATTTTCTTTGTATAGTAATATTTGAAAACATAATAAGTCTTTGAGAATTTACTCTATACCCTCTAACTCTTGCTACTCTCTCGTTAGCAAATTTTGCTGAAGGGCAAACTAAAAAAAAACCCATTATCACATATATATTGTATATCTACAGTATAAGTCAGTAATTTTGATTTAAAATCTGCATAATCGTTATTTAACAATTAAAAATAGTTTATAATTTTTTTAATAAATGAACAAAACCACACAAACTTTGTGTTTTGTTTTTTGTGAACGATTTTGGAAAATATCCAGAACTTCAGGATTTGCAAACTAAACATCACTGGACCAATGAAGCAGTTACTGCACTTAACTCGCTTAATAACAAATAACATTGATATTGCATTAGCTATTTTTTAATTATTTTAAACCAAATATTTCAGCCATTACTATTAAGTTAAACACAAGAATACAAAACATATTTAAAACTAGCACCTTACCCCTGCTTCGCTCGGGTGCTCGGATTTTACACAGGTTCACAATAATTTGTGTGTTTTAGTTTCTTACCCAGAACCCTAAAGTAACTTGAGTTATTCCTTATAACATCAGCTATCTGCCAGTGAAATTCCCGTCAACATCGGTCTGTCCATTTCAGAAATTAGCCGAAACAAACAGTCAGACACACAGACAAAAAATTTAAAATTTGTTTTTCTCTTATTAGTACCTTATTCACTTTTAAATGTATTTAGTAAAAAAGCTATTATTTTGACATTACAAACAGACACTTCAATTTTATTTATTTGTATAGATAAAACTACAAAAAGCCCTATCAAAAAATCTCAAGTCACACAAGAGAAAATCTGTTAGATTAAAAAAAAACAAAAATACTCACCTTCCTTGTGGCACTATGAATACTGCATATTTATTGATGGCTTGGGACCTCTTTTGATCCACTATGTAGAGTGTGTATCGAGGGATGTCTTCCCCCGGCTGCATTAGGTCTAATGTAACCTAAAATTATATAATTTAACATCAGGAGAAATTTATAGGATCAGAACAAAATAGTGAAACATTCACATCACTTATTTTAATTTTTAATATTTTTTCCGAATTTTTGCTAATCAGTATTAGTATTTAATATAACATATACATTATACATACCTACATATATAGTTAATGTTTACAGTAAATTTTAAAATTTAATACATACTAGTGAAGATTGACTATCCTACGGGAACTGTACATTTCCCTATATAATTTCTGGGATAAAGAAAGTAGCCTATGTGCTATTCCACACTATAATCTATCTCTGCCGTTGCCGTATCAGATCCGTTTTGACGTTCTGGGGTGAAAGAGTAACAAACATCCATACATACTCACAGACTTTCACATTTATAATATTTATACAGAAACCTATACATATAATAAAATTCTAACTGTGCCGAATGTGTACATGAAATATTTTTTGGGAAATCTTATTGAAATAGACATTATTATTGATACAGGGGCCGAATCTATAGATTTTAGAATTTTTGTCTGTCTGTCTGTTACAGCATCACGGAACAACCACCAGAGGGATTTTGATGAAATTTGGTACGGTAGTAGCTGGTTATCCGGGTCAACATATAAGATACTTTTTACCGCGGTAAAATATCTCATTTTTGAGAAAAAATACAAAAACTGCAATGTAAGAATATACTAATATGTAAAACCTAAGAATTTGTTTTTTGGTCATCTGAACACGGGCGGAGCCGCGGGCAATGCTAGTATTACATAAATATATAATATAGAATATGGATTAGTATTTAGTAGAGATAGTGTCTTGTTATTACACTTGCTATTTTAAGTAGCTGCATGTTAGTTAGATGTTTAATACTATTTTCATATGTTACTTGTAATAAAAGCTAAATATAAGTTTTATTATTCTCAATATTTTTATTCCATAAAATATAATCATATACCATTCTATAAAAAATAGAATTACCAAAAATACACTTAAAAATAAATAAAAATATGAGGTCAAATTACTTACTTCATCTTCACCATCTAAAGAAGTTCTAGCCAAACCATTAGTAATGAAAGCTGTGTCTTGTACAGACTTAATACAAGCTTTTATGTCTTCAACAGATTCCAATCTTTGCATTTTATCTCCTGCCATACACACCTCTAATATCTAAATTAGAAAAATTGCTGCATTATTATAAAATATAGGTAATATTATCAGAATATGAATAACAAAACACTGAGCGAGTATTTTTATCTGTATCACACTTTATAGGATTTAAATAGAAAAAATATACATACTTGCTATTTTTCATATTTTTTTTGTTCTATCCATGTTACTGAATATTCTTTGTTAATTTTTTAAAAGTACTAATAATTATATTTAAAGTACTTACTAATTTTGGCATCTCTTTAAATTTGGTTGCCACAACAACAAATACAGGTAGAGTTGACCCATCACCATTCTCAGCATTTTTTTCTTCTGCCTCATGACATCTTACAATTCGAAACATCCATAATTTATCACAGAAAAATGACAATAACTTGTTTAAAATGTGACTTTGTAACAATGATATACATATGAAACGACCACCCATTTTCAATATCCTCTTAATTTCTGCAAAATATTTATTAATCCTTATATTTGTTTCTTCTAAGTCGTCTGGCATTAGGGCATCTAGAGTTCCCTTATCAAGTACAACATTAAATTCATCGTTTTCAAATGTCGTGTTTAGAGCATCCATAAAAATAAATTTCATATTTGTCCTGTGTACATTTACAGCGTTCATCTGCTTAATTACGACTTCTGATACGTCAATATTAGTAATATTTCTGTAACCTACATCGTAAAGATCTGCGCTGAGACTAGAGTTACCACAACCAGGTATAAGTATTGTATCTACTTGTTTTATATACTTGTGTAGATGAGCACATAGCTCTAAGTATTCCCCATACCTTTAAAGAATAAATATATTCATTATATATTATTATAGATATCATAAATAACAATAAGATCGGTGCACAAGAAATAATCACCATTCAAATGCTTTATTTCCGCGCTTTTTGAAAAATTTATTCCAGTAATCCTTTTCGCTAAATTCCTTATGGCTTTTAGGGAGAAGATTCATTTTAATTAAATTGAGTTATAAGCACACAAAACTACTTATTTCTTTGCAAAAATATTTCTCAACAATCAACAACACATGGACCTACACTTGAAACCTGATTTGTTTTTCTGTCAAAGTCATTTCATAATTCAGCAGACAGCAGCATGAAAATCATTTTATTTTCCAGACGTAATTTTTCGAATAATATTAAATATAAAAAAATTATAATTATTAAAAAAATTAATCATGATCAGCAATAAATAAAGAATATATAAGTATAGCATTCCATAACATTCATATAGGTATTATGTGAGCTGTGTTTAATATTTTGACATGTTATTTATGCTGCTTTGAGCTTTCTTATCTGTGGAATTTGAAGTGTCTGTGTGTGTGATACGTGATTACCTATTATTTTTATTGTGATTTGTATTTTGTACATTGTTACGATTTACGGGTTGTGCGTTTTATTTTGGAGCTATTCTATTTAAATTTACCTTTTTAAAATATGGAAAGTTGCCTTAAAAAGATTTGCAATTACACAGAACTATGATATTTATGTGATATATTATAATGATTACTAGAGATTTCAGTGAAGGTAAATCGTGGATTCAACATCTATGCCACAAATAAAATTTACAAATATGGATACAAAAAAAAATGACAAGTGGGAAGCTCTAGCTACCGTAAAATCCTTTGACCTAGGTAATTTTACTTGCTAAGTACACATCTTACATAATATTGATGAAATTTGATACATTATATTAACCTTGAGTCACTCGTCATACTTGTAGATAAACCGCACTTTTACACAATATTTACTGTTATTTCCAACTGTATCATATCGAAATTGATTAATCAAATGAAATCAGCGATACAGTATGATAAACATGTGGTTAATGTATTGCATTTATATTTATCAATATTTTGTTATAAAAAATCATTTCTTATATCATGAAAGGCATACCTTTATATAATATTTTATTTTTAAAAGAATAATATGATACTATTTAGTTTAAATAAATGATCATAGTTATTGCTTAATCCATTTAAAAAAAAAAGGAAAATGTCCAATATTTTTCTATTAAACAGTAGATAAATAAGTTTAAGCTCAACATTTTTTAAATTAAAAAAAATTTTTTTTTTGCTAAAAAAAGGAACATAATCTAGACCATTAAATACTATTATTTAATCATATAATTTTATGACATTTTTATTTTTTTCCTTGACATGAACAAACCACTGAAACCACGAGTTTCTAGAATTGATAGCACATTTCCAAGTTTCCTTTCAGTAGTAGTTGACATTGTTACGGTCATACACTTAGCAAATTTTTGATCAGTTTTTGATTTATTTTATATTTTATTTTGTTCTTACTTTGGAATAAAAATGTGTCGTGAGTATGCATTTATATAGATATTTATACAAGGTTTCAAAACTATTACAGACACATTGAACTATAATAGATAAAAAGAATTGAGAACTTTAACATTAAAATATTGAACATTCTACATTAAATTTAAAATATATATATTTTAAATATATATATATAACTAGCGGACCCGACAGACGTTGTCCTGTCTACACGTCTTTAATTTGAAAATTTCAAACTTTTTTTAATAATTTTTTTGATTAAAATTATTATTCAAATTGTGAATCTAAACCATTCCCAGATCCCCTTTAACACACACAAAAAATTTCATCAAAATCGGTCCAGTCGTTTGAGAGAAGTTCAGTGACATACACACTCACAGAAGAATTATATATAAAGATATATATATCTAAAATATATGTATATAACATATATTTCTTGTATTATAATTTAGAAATCTATAAATAATAATATAATTTATAAAGATGTAGAGAAGATCTCTGTTGGTATTTAATATTAAAAATTTAAATTTCAGGTGTAGCACGCACGAGCCAACATGAATCAGTCTTACAACAGAGCATACATCAGATTGAAGTGATCAATTCTAATGCCACCACACCTATTAGCCTTCTTATCCAGTCTCTTGTGAAACAGCTATGTGCACTGCTAGAAAAAGATATTAGTAGGGCAAATCAACTCTATAACACAATTTGTGAAAAATTGCACAGTATGAACTTGATAGATGACTCATATGCTATGGGAGAGTTTGAAGTAATGAGGAGTCAGTACCAACGAGCACTGTACCAACTTGTCACAGTTGCTAGTGGAACTGAAATCCCAATCACTATGCCAGTATCTTGGCCAATAACTAAGTCGGGACTGGAGTGGTCAAGATACCACCGGGAGTTTGAGGAGCTATACTTCATAGCTGGCGGTGGTTTCGGTAATGTGTTCAAAGCTCGACATAGACTAGATGGAGTGGAATATGCTGTTAAGAAAGTCAACATTAAGTCCTCTAATGTGAACTCTATCATGACGCATTTAGCTGAAGTGAAAACTATAGCAAGTCTCAATCATCCCAACATAGTCAATTATAAAGCTGCATGGCTTGAACCAATGATAGAGTCTAAAGTTAAGAAGAAGAGAAAATTCAACATGGATACAGATGAAGATGGTATCACAATAAATAGCAATGTTTCCTCAGTTTACCCTAATATAATGAAATCCTTCAAAACATACAATTCAAAGGACCTCAACAAAAAACAAAGCCAGTCTGACTTTGATATATCATTCCATAACTCCAATAGCGTAGACAATGATATAAGTACTGATGAGATTAATTCAGAGAGTGAAGAAGATGATTCGTCGAGTGACCAAAATGCTGTTTGTAAACTTTTATCTGGACAAGAATATGAAGATTGCTCCCGAGTTAACCTCAAATGGGCTACACTGTACATTCAAATGACTTACTGCCAGCAAACACTGAAGCAATGGTTGGATGAGCGCAATAAATACATTGCTTCGTCTAGAAAGGGTTCTGATGACTTCACACTTCATCATAGTGATTCTACGGATTCTAATTGCCTGGAAACTGCATTTTCTGATACAAATTGCCCTCCAGTATTTTCATTGTGTGTTCTAGTAGATATGTTCACTCAGTTAGTGCGTGGTCTTCATTACATACATTCTAGAGGTGTGATTCATCATGATGTGAAGCCAAGCAATGTGTTTGTAGGACCAAGTGGGAATGAGTTACTAGTTCAGTTGGGTGATTTCGGCTTGGCTTGTCCATTACAGCAGTCCCACAGTGGCTTAGCACTTGGGACACAATTGTATGCTGCACCGGAGCAACTGGATGGTCAGTGTAACCCTAAGGTAAGCTTTATATATTGAAAATATAGTTCGGCATTTCCCATATCTTATATTTTCATGATTACAACTTTAATATGGTAAAGAGAAATATAATGAAAAAATCTGCATGTCTATAATAATCTTAAGTAATTTTCAAAGACACGTTAAGTCTGCTTACATGCATTTAGCCAGTTGGATTATGGATTGAATCCCTCCCGGTAAGGAGAAGCCTGCTAACTGGCATTAGTATTATACAATAAACTATATATGTTACTGTTTCAATGTAATTCAAAACATCCTTATAGTATAAATGTGGAATTGTTTTGTTTGTCGACATAATTGTGGAATATAAAAGCATGGAATGTATGAGTAGGATAGTGACACGTACCGACATACATGTAAACTTGCACAGTCAAGTAAATGTCCTAGTTTTTTAGTTCGGACCAGTAATGTTATTCTTTTACAGAAAAACACTATTGGCAAAGCATAGAAATTCACATTTGTTATATAGTAAAACACAAAATCAATATTTTTTATATCTAACAATTATTTTCTCAATTTTAGAGCGACATGTATTCCCTTGGAATTATACTTCTTGAGATGGTGGAACCCTTCAGCACCGATATGGAGCGTGTAAAAACAATAACGGACCTACGGAAAGGCCAGATCCCCGCACATCTTACTGCAAATTTTCCCAAAATAGCCCACATTATAGGTAAATTGGTACAAAGAAGGCCTAGCAAAAGATTGGATACGGCACAGCTGTTGGAAGAACTCAAAACATTAACAGAAAACAAGGATGATACAATTAGATTGTTAAAGGAAGAGTTAGCGGCAAAAGATGATGAAATAGCCAAATTGAAAATGATGCTGGCTAAAAGTAATTGCCGTCCCTGATAGTAAATATGTTTTTTTTTATCATATAAAGGGATCTGATAGTGATAAAATAATGATAGATATCATCAAGCATTTTTTATTGGTAAATATTGATTCCTGCTATACAATTTTTTTTCACATTAAATTACAGTTAGTGCATAGTAAAGAAATTGTGTCTTCGAATTAAATCTAATATTCCATACAAATCTATCATTTAATTTTCTGTTTATCTACAATTTTATTACAATGTTTAACATTAAGAGATCTATAATACAAAAATCAATAGTTTAATTTGTACCTTAAAAACGTAACAAATGTTGTGATAAAAAACGAAGGGAGAGAAATGGTTTCCTGATTGATTTTTTTTTATTACCGATTTTTTTTTGACCGTTCTACACATGCTACGTTGTGCTTACGATGTTACCTTAAATTCTAGCATCGATCAAAAAAGTACTAGATACAGTACTCCATGCAAATATTCTCTTAAAACTGTCACCAATTGTGTTTAGATAATTATTGTATTTAAAATAAATATAAAAGTATGTAATTTGAACCTTAAATTGCAATGCCTAAAGTTGTTTTCACAAAAAAAAATTAAAAGCGCTCATTCGGTGAGGACATTTTTTGTCGCTGATTGTGTATCTAGTACTTTTTTGATCGATGGATTCTAGTATACGTTTCTCAAATTCGTATTAAAACTGACAAAAGTTATTAATTTTTGAAGTAAACAAAGAGTTTTTAAGAGAACTTAATCATTGATATTTTCATTAATCATTTTTCATTTCATTTCATTAAGCCAAAATAAATATTTTAAATCAATATCGAAAACTATTTGAGTAAACGTATTGTGACTACATTCGTATATATATATATATATATATATATATATGAATAGCTAGCGATTGAAGATTTATTTTTTTTAGAATCATGCTAGTGTTTTTGCGAATGTGTGGAGCTACGTTAATTTAATGTATTCTTATTGTCTCTCTCTGTCTTCTATTTATAAAAATGGATTTATTTTTGCATTCTATAAAAGAAAATCCTTGGTTCAGACAATTGGTTATTTTACTGCTATATTATGTCTATTCCAATCGTTTTTTTTATAATAATTTATGGTATAGTCCTAAAAATGAAAAATGACTTTTTGGATTGTTGACTTAATGATTGTACTTATGTGTGTTTGTGTGTGCGTTTCTTAATTTAATATAGATATTAAGTACATAAGAATATTTTTTTTATTTAAATAAAACTCCCAGTTATGATAAAAATTTATTTACAAAAAAGTTAACTGCATAAATTAACACCTTATTCTATTTTATATGTACAGTCTTAAATTTATTTTTAATGGTAGCCATACTGGCGTTATACTGATTTTAAATTCATATATTTTTAGTAAATGGAAAGAGTCCTTGGAATTTTTGTCCCATTCTCTTAAAGGCTAAAGAAAGAGACATAAATTCAAATATTGGTTAGTTTAGAAAATTAGAGCTATTATGCTTAATGCAACTTGCATACAATTGAACCGCCTTCATAGTTTTTTAATTTATGATTTAATGTTTATTTTTAAAGTAAAACTTCTTTAAGCATGACTTGGGGTAAGTCAATACATTGGAAAAATGAGTGTCGCGGAAGTGAGAGTCAAATTTATTATTTAATAATTAAAAAAGAAGTTTATAATAATTATTTATAAAAATATACTTATATTTACTATTCATAATTTTATAATAATTACTATATTTATATTTTGATTTGTTTTAATTTAATTATGGTATCTGACACAGCGCCAAAGAAGTTTTACTTCAATCGCGCGTAAAGTTTACACGCACTCATTTTTTTTATATATAGCAAAAACCTTAAATAGAAGCATTCAATTTTTAATTTAAGCATTCAAATTAAATTAGTTTCATTTGAAGCGCCGTTTTGCGATAAGTTAGCTTATTTTTTAAATGCAATCGAAGGCGATTATTTGTGTTAAAGGAAATGTAATGTAAATATTCAAGTAGCTAATACAGTATTTTGGCGGGTTACAAGAGCGTGTCGACGGCGTGTATGACGCCGTTTGTGGCGGGTATGTTGTGTGTTATCACTTGGGCGTTGTTCACTTTAATGCGACCTGAAACAAATTATGATTATGAAAAGTGATGACTTAAGAAAAGTGCTAGTTGTATGTGTATCCTCTAGTTATGATAGCATTTAGTTAGGTATATACTTAATATGATGATAGTTTTTCAATACACTTGTCCTAAATAATTATATAGATATAAGAATAACAAAAAAAAAGTCGCTCGGGTACATCCCTAGTTACGTTTCCACGTTTAATATTGATTTCTCAGAGATGAGATATTTTCGCGCAGTAAAATGTATCCTATATACCCGGATAACCAGCTATCATCATGCCAAATTTCATCAAAATCTATCCAGTGTTTTCTCGCGGCGCGGTCACCAAGCAGACAGATAAAAATTCTAAAAACTAGATTCGGCGTCTGTATCGATAATAATGACAATTTCAACTAGATTAAAAAAAAAAATTAATGTACACATGCAACTCTGAATTTTATTATATGTATATATTTGAATAAGTCTCCATGTAATTTACACCTAAAAAAAACACGTACCTAGTCTAAATAATATATTTTCTAATTTTTTTTGAAATAATATGAAAAAAAGGGTGGAAATTATAGTGCCGATGTCAATGATCTTAAAATGAACCAGCTAAAAAGTGTCACACATAATGCCTACGCATACATACATGTAATAATGACTAAAGTTGAGTTACACTTATTGATTTTCACCTTTTACATAACGACATGTTCAAATTAGAAAGGCGACATCTTTTTTTGCTGCTATTATAATGTCACAGTAACTTAGTAGGTAGATAAGTAATATCAGTATGGTGCAACTTAAATTTAAAATAAGAATTATTATGCTTAATAGACTCTAAATGTAGTTATGAAATGATATTTTATTACTGCTGTGAAATACTAAAAAATCAGTTAAGTGCGAGTCGGACGAACGAGAAGGGTTCCGTGCCATAATCAATTTCTTTTATTTGCATGGCGGCCATTTTGAAATTTGCCGTCTTGGTTTTTTTGTTGTTGTTATAGCGGCAATAGAAAAATACACACTGAAAATTTCAACTCTCTACCTGTTACCGTTTGTGAGATATAGCCCCCTGACAAACATACGGACGGACAGCGGAGGCTTAGTGACATGGTCCCGTTGGCACCCTTGGGTACGGAACCCTAAAAACACGATTATAACAAACTGACATGTGGATTCGTCAAAACTAATCAAATGAGCCCAAACTCGAATGCTTTACTAGTAGACATGTAAAAGTTCCACTATCCATAGCTTCATCAGAATAGTAGTATCAAATTTTAGTCTCATTTGGATTTTATGTACATATTTTCAAATCATTAACCCAAGAAAAATGTGTCCAAAATCAAACTTACCAGAACTCTTCTGTAAAGTCAAAGGTTTCGCGTCTTCCATAGAGTTCCTCAGCTGATAGTATCGCATGCCCGCGCTGTACAGCGTGCCGGGCAGCACGTGGCGCGCGACCAGCGCCTTCGCCGCGGCTTTGTCTGAGTACCGCGATAGTTCAGACGCGGTGAGACGAGAGAACGCCGCGTCGGTTGGTGCGAACACTGTATAGGTTTTGCTTTCTGTGGAGTTTTTATGTTGGATAATATTTAATATTACGTGGTTTAGTATCAAAATAGAGGTATTATTTGCTTATTAGTATCTAAGAATAATTTATCGAATTAAGTATTGAAACGAAATTCTGAAAATCTTTTAGCTAATAAATTATATTAAATGACATAGGCTATTTTTGTCGTACCTATTGTATGAGTAGCCAATGACATGCATGTTTCAAAAAAATGAAAACCTTTAATGTGAACCTTTATCAGTATTTTAATGTGCTAGTTAATAATACTTTATTAATTTAGAAGTTTGTGTCGGAAGGAAAATATCGTGTAGAAATCTGAATGTCTGAGGAAACCTAACAAGTTTTCCAAAGACGTGAAATCCGCTAACACACACTTGGCCAGTGTGGTGGATGGTGTTATGGCTTGATCCCCTCGTATTAAAGGGAGGCTCGTGCCCAGCAGTGGGACGATAAAAATGTTGGATATAAATTGCTCACCAGCTAAAGTGTCCGCGAAGCCACTAGCGAATATCGCTTTTAGGAATATTGTGAAGCGTCGGTCGCGGTCCGCCTGCAGCGTCTGCACCAGGTCGCCCACCGGCAGCGGGAACATCACTCGGTCCACCGCGTGTGCTATACCCTGGATATACAAAAAAGTGGTTTTTTGTTAGTATCCTCAGAAATATTTCGATTATTAAAAAAATGAACAGCTGTTTTTTTTCATCAAATAGTTACTACACTTTGTTGAAAACGTCTGAAATAACACTTTGTTTTTGCTTCTTCATAACTTTAAATTAATTAAGAAAATACTGATGATGATGATATAATGGTCGGTTGTTCATGTTTCAAAATAAAAGTTTGAACCAAATGTAAGCATAAGCTTATACTATATTTATCATGATTGACGTATAACATTTTTAGGGTTCCGTAGCCTAGAGGCAAAAGCGGAAACTCAAACAACAATAATTTAAAGTTTCTTGCTACTCGACAGATGGTTCCCATCTGTGCGAGTCAGACTCACCTGCGGTATATGTATGTCCTTTTTATCGTCCAAAACTCGAGCACCGTTGATAGTGGTCACACGCACTTCGTTCCACTCAACGTCGTGCATGTCGTACTGGTTCACTCTAAGCTGCGTGCCCGCAAGTGACACTCCGGTCATCTCGTCTTGTAGCGACGCGATGTCGAAAGCGCCTGGGATCACATGGTGCAGGAGTAACTGGAAGAATGATTTTAAGATTTTTATTATAGGATTCCATTTCTCTTTTTACGTGTCTGTGTGTTACATCCTATAAATAAATTATGATAAAATTGTTTAAATATACATTTTACACAGGTATAGTCAACTAATGACGAATAGTAGAGTAAGTGAATTCTGATGTTGTCTTAATTAGACCGGACCGGGTTGGATAATTATAGTTATGCAAATATGTAGATTTGAGCCTGTGCACGAATTGAACCAAAGACCTCTTACATATCATCAGTGACAGACATACACATAGTTTAACACCACATTAATTATATTACCTTAATATTAAAAATAAAGTCACAGTTAACACCCGCAGGTAAATTTCTAAGAAATAATTAAAATTCTAAGAAATATTTTGTTTACTGACACGCCAGCGTGTCCGCGATCGTGGAGTTATTAATATATTCTTCATGCAAGCAAGAGAAAATCATTTTCCCTGCGTCTATGTCGAATAAAGAATAAAAAAATAAGTATAACAATGTAACATATTCTCGTATAATAAATTAAATCGTTCTTACCCCACTCAACAGCCTGGGATTGTCGCGGAATTTTTCTTCAGCTCTATCAGGACCACCGAGTTGAACAAGCAGTGTTCTAAAAGCTTTGTCTGTTGGGGCGAATATTGTGTACGGTCCAGTTTCATTCAATATGGCATCTAAACCTGACTGCTTTAAGTATTTAGCTGTTGCGAACAAGCCATTCTCTTTTAAAATATCAATGAGGTCAGGAGTGCCAGATTTGTCATAGCTTAAGTTAATAGTAGATTCTTCGAAAGCTGGAGATGCGCTAGATCCAATAACGACTATATCTTGGGGTGTTGATCTGAATGAAGATGTTGGGTAAACAGGCGTTGTATTTATTAGTGTAGAACCTTGACTGTGGCCTCTTGATGAGGGGCTGTAATTATTTCTACTTTTAACATAGTTTGGTGTAGAAGATTTTACGTAGTACCTTTCACTTGTCGTTGCTCGAGTGGTGGACGGGTATGTTTGTGTTAATGGGGTGGCTCTTGTTGATGGTACTATTGTTCGGTAAGTTGGCGCTGGAGTTGTTTGTATCGGATTTGTGTGCCCCGAGTCACCGTAGTTGGACGTTGTAACGAAACTTGTGTAAGTTGAGGGATTGTGTGATGATTCAGCTATATAATCTGTTGTTATAGTAGACGGACTTTGCGTTGTGGTTGAAAATGCGTTGTTGGAAATTTTAGTAGGTCCAGGCAATTGTATTTCACCCTTCTTTATCTTATTTAGTATATCTTCTACTTCCGGACCTTCTTCAGTTTGCTGGCCATTAGCTTTAACACCCTTCACTTTAAATGTGCCATCCTCCTGTTCTTCAAGGAAAACGAATGTAACTTTCTTTTTATTTTGTAATGAATTTGGTATCTTAGAAACTTCTTCTAATTTACCATTATCTGCTTGTTTGATTAATTCGAAATTAGCCCCCGGTGGCAATACACCTTTAGTTAAATCTTCAAAAGAAATACGACTTTCTTTTTGAGGTTCTTGTGTAGCAGCTATAAGCTTGCCAAAATCAGGATTATCAGCAGCAATTGCTCCTTGAGGTATTAGATTCGGATTATTGGTCCTTATCACTTCAAACTTCTGTCCATTTAAGGATATTTCACGAGATGTAAAGTTTTTCTCATTAAAATCTTCAGGATTTTCAGCTAAAGCTACTTTGAGTTGCTTTAATATATCTGGCTTTTGGAGAAGCGCTACACTCTTCGCTCTTAAATTGTCATCAAAGCCTTTAGTATCACTTTCTTCTAAAAGATTTTTAATTTCGTTGTAAAGCTTTTGTTTATTCCTGTCTTGAGGAGGCGCCCTAGTCCTAGTTGGTGACCGAGTCCTATATCGAGCAGTTGTAGGGCGTTTCGTTGTCGTTGTAGTGGTTGTAGTAGTTGTCGTAGAAGTAGTAGTTGGATGGTCCTTTTCATAAAGCTCAATGGCTTTTCTGAACAAATCCGTTTCGTGAGGAAGTAAAGGTCTTCGTTTCTCTTGATTTCGCTTAAAGAACTCTTCGTAGCTTTCCGTCGTTGTATAAGTTGGTATGGATTTTGTAGCTTGTTTACTCACAAATTCTTCATGCAATTTTTCTACTTTTTCTTGTTGCTTTTGTTGTTGTTTTTGAACGAACTCTTGATGTTTTTGAATGAGTCGTTGCCTTTCTTGTAGTTCCTTCAATTTCTCTAAGTTTTCTTTAGATTGCTGCTCGTAGTAATCTTGTAGTTGTGATACAGATTGGCCGTTGTACAGTTGAGATTGGCCTAAGGATGATTGGAATGGAATTTGCTGACTGTTTATATTTTGTGGTCCTAGGTTCGGTGCCGCTTGAATTGTTATTGGATTTGGCCCGTTAAAAGCCTGGTTTTGAACAGCAACAGAATTCAAAGGCGGAAGAAAAGCAGCTTGAGTTGGTCTCTGCTGAGAAATATCAATTGAGCTATGAATATTTGGATTTTGGTTAAATGTTTGAGGAGAATTTTGATTCAATGGAAGTCTGTTACTTTGAAACGCTGCTAAAGTCGGGATGGGTTGTTGTATATTTTGTGCGTGTTGCGGAATATGCCCTAAGTTTTGTTGTTGTAGGTTGTTAATTGGATTAACGTTTGTTGGTTGGCTGAATTGAAACCCGTTATTGTTTTGGATCGGGGCATTATTTGGAATGTTTTGAGCTGGTAATAAATTATTGAATTGTGGTACATAAGGTTGTTGTTGGAATATCGGTTGCGGGAACTGGATGTTAGGAGCTGGACTGCTCAACAAGCTTGGTTGCTGTTGGAAGTTTTGTAATGAAGGTGATACTCCAAATCTATTTTGATGTTCGTTGAATCCAGAATGACTTGGCTGTCGGTTTCTATCGAAGTCATTTTCTATCTGTAATAGAAAAAAAAGTTAAAGTATTAAATATTAGTTTAAGAATTATGGTAACTATGGAAAATTTTATATTGCAACACCTCCAGGTAAATTTCTAAGAAATTCGTTAAATTTCTGAGTAATCTGTTGTTAACTGACAGTTGACACGCCGGCGTGTCCGCGGTCGTGGAGGGATTAAAGTACATTTTATCATTGTATTATTAAAATTAAAGCCAATAACGTATACAATAATATTAAAATCAGTTAAAGTATATTCATAAATATAAACTACATTTTAATATGCTACTAGTATTCCGTGAGATGACACAGCAATTTTCTCAGTTATCACGAAGTAACATTCGTCTGTTCGTGATGCATCAGTAGCACGAAAGTGCATTCTTTATGCGCGGGCGCAGATGAGATCTAACATACTTTTGTAATAAATGTAACGCTTTACTAATTACTGTACAATAGTAACCAAATAATGTGTAATATTTACAGATTTTATTATCTTTCTGTATTTATACATACATATTTTGTATACATAAAATTGCAAGCATTGTAAATAATTTTTTATTAGTTTTTATTAAGTGTTGTCGAGTGTCTAGTGTAAAGTTACAGCTTTAGCTTTTGGTTTTACATACATCCATACAAAACACTACACCTATACATATAATAAAATTAAAAGTACCTACCTAACTAAGCGAAATCTGTACATAATTTTTTTTTTTTAAAAAACAATAACTGTAACGTATTGTGTACAGAATATAGATCCCAAAACAATAATTATTAATTAATAAAAAATTTGTTTGTTTGTATGTGCGCGTTTCACGCAAAATGTACTGAACCGATTTTAACTAAATTTTGTGTAGTGATAACTTATTACTCGTGTCAACATTTAGGGCAAAAATTTTATTCCCACGGGAAAACACAATAACTAGTTCTATCGAATCGTATATGTGTAGTAAAGTACTTATATTTAAAAAGTTACTAGGGACGCACCCGAGAGAATTAATGAGGGCATGTCGCTATTTAAAGGGTCATATAGACCAAAATTTTGAACATCATTTAAACGTCTTTTAAATATTCTTAGCAAACGTTAAACAGTACAATTTGATGTTTGAAAATAAATTAAAATCAAAATAAACATGAAATGCAAATAACAGATGGTAATATTAATAACCTATAAATACGAAATTAATATATATATATATATATATATAATATATATATATATATATATATATATTGCCGTAAATAGAGTTTGCTTATGACTCTATTCTGAAATTATATAACTTCTATGGTATTCAACTCTCTCGAAACCGGTAAAATATCACATACAGGATGTTTGGAAGAATGCAGGACTGTCTCATATGGCTATACTTTCTCGGCGCGAGCGCTGACGAAGCTTACTTTCGGTTTCGTTAAGTACCTACTTACTACTTTTTGTTTTAAAGGTCATATGTATTATGTAACTATACTAGCAATTCGTTTGAAATTACCAATAGAAAACATGTAGTCGGTACTTAAGTTTGTATATTTGTTTGATTGGATAAAATAAATTAATAAATATTTTTTTTTAATAATTAATTAAATTAGTACATTTGTTTGATAGAAAATTTAACTTAGACTAAAGAACTGTTTACAGTCTGCCAAAATAAATGTCAAAATCAAAAATAGTAGTGTAATTTGCTCTATACGCTACTATTCTCAATTTTGCCATACAGATCGTTTATTTTTTTTAAATAATAAGGTTTTTTTAATATGTATTAGTTAAATTAATTTAATTATCATTCAGAAGGTATACAAATCGTCATTTGTAAACTATATTTTAAAAGATTATATAGATATTATTAGTAAACATTATTAAATTATTATTTTAATAACAATAATTGCATTATAATAATTGTCAACCACCAAAATTAGACTACGGAAATTTAATTAAATTTTAAGTTTATTGTGACCAGATTAATAGAAAAAAAAAATGACTTCACGCATGTCGCGCTGGCTGACGGAGTACGTCTTGGTTTTCGCGGATTTCTTAGAATTCTCGTTCTGGATGGCGGCTTTTAGCATCGGTTGCGTATTTAAATACTCTCAACAGACCGTGACAATAAATATTTATTAATACCAATATAGTATCTGGTAACTGAACCCACTGCTCATCATGTCATACATAATACCAAATAAACATGGTAACTAATACTTATAAGTTTTTTTAATTATCAAATAGTAAATGTTTCATATTTTAAACCAATTTCAAAAAAGGAAGTAGGTTTTGTTCGATCAATACTTTTACAAGTTATTATTTATCTTGCTTCATTTGTATGTTTGTTTGTGTTGTCGGATCAAAATTTGTTACCTATTTTTAGTAGTAGATACTCGCATTCAATTAAATTAAAATTACTTAATCACTCTACTAGCAATGGAGCTGGGAAAATTTTCAATAAAATAACAAAATGTGCAAACAAAAGATTGTTTTATGAAAAGTTATTTTTTGCCCATTTTTAAATCTTAATATAGATGTATAACATTTTTCGTATTTATACTTTTTATATGACTTTAGTGTTCATTCCATTTTCACTTGGACAATAAGTGAATTTCTATTCATAAAGGCAAGCATCTAGTGCATTTTCTAATCGTTCGAAAACAAAGATGAGGTGTGGGACGCGCGTCGAATCGGAATAGCCGCCGGTTTCCGTAAAACGATGAAAGCCGGCTCTCGCTCATTATGTTACTTTACGTTCAATGTGTACAAATGATGAGTGACGTTATATAAAACGTATACAAGATAAATTCTTGTTTGTTTTATACTGTTTGTTGCAGAATCTTAATAATATATTTTTATTTTATAAGAATTTAAGGTACATTTCGTTTATGCCTATATTTTATCTTTTAATTTATTTTTTAAATCATAACATATGTCCCTTTTACTCTATAAAGATCATGAATTTGAAGGGTTTAAAATATAGTAAATATGTATATTTTAAAAATCAGATTTGCATACTGACGGTCTCGTAGGTACCACTAAACAATTTACTTGTGCTACATTTTTATTAAAAGTTGTGATTGATCAAGTAAGGGTGGACTTATAGGGGAGTTTAAAGTATTAACACTAAATACACAGACAGTTGTTTTTAAGGTATTTTTAACAGGTCCTATTAGTTACTTTATGATAACATCAAGGGTTGCTTTAAATTGAAACACTCATGTTAGAGACTTTAATATATACTTAATAGATTTCAATGTCATGACTTTTTCTGCATTAGTGACAATAAGGGGTAAGTCAAATATTGTGTAAAATTTTGGAAGTAAAAATTACACCAGATTAGTATATATTTTTTAGCAAACTTATAATATGGCTACTATTATGATTGCGAATGTTTGTATGTTTGTTTCACCATCACGCAGAGACGGCGGGATGGATTTAGATCAAATTTAGTAGATAGACTTTGACTTATGAAAAATTGTTTGGTTCCATTTTGTTCTAAGCGAACATAAATATGTAGATCTTTTTAATGCGCCATAATCCAATATCTTGTTCTGTGGCAAAAGAGATTGGATTATAGCACATTACGGAAAGCAATAGTTAAATCATTTATGCAATAGCAAGAAGGGCTAAACCACAGTTACGCGGGGTTTCGAGGAAGTATCGCGTGCCATAGCATTCGTTGACACATAAAATTGTGCAACCGGGGAATCGAATCACTTACTTACGTAAGAGCAAGTTATGGGAAAACTAGGATATCTTAGAATAAATTACGGTGATCCGTTTAAAATTAGCAATATTAATGGAGCTTGGGATTTAAATTAATTGACATCTTATATGGCTATGCTGTGATTTTAATAAGGAAATTTAAATATTTAAATAGCTTTTTTCTATATCTCTCGGAAAATAGAAGAATTTATGTATATATATATATATATATTATATATATATATATATAATATATATATATATATATATATATATATATATATATATATATATATATATATATATATATATATATAAAATATTAAAGTACCTAAATTTTAAATATTTAAACTATAGTTTCCATTAGATACTTCTTTTTAGTTTGTAGGATTTTTGGAGATAGCTAAAACTAATAAAAACGAAGTCAAGAGAATTATTTATGAAATTAATGAATTTTAATCGTTATAATCCCATTAACACCTCGAGGTAAATTAATTTTTCTAAGAAATCTATTGCTAACTGTAACGCCGGCGGGTCCGCGGTCGTGGAAGTGCGAAAGTTTGGATGGATGTTAGTTACTCAATTGTACCAGAATCACTGAATGGATCTGGATGAAATTTGGCACAGAGATAGATTATAGTCTGGAATAGCACATAAGGTACTTTTTATCCCGGAAAAATGCACGGTTCCCGTGGGATAGCTTTGTTTTTGTTGTTGCTAGTATTATCTATTGAAGTAAAAGATCACTGAAGTTAGTACCAAGAAAAATTCTTAAACTATAACCTTGCCGGGAAAGCCACAGAAAAGATTATTAACAATTTAATAACTGTAGTGACGTGATATTTTGTAAAGAATTTTCGTAGAATTTTCATAGATTCCTAGTAATCGCATGTTGGTATGATTCGTTTCATCAATTATTTATTTTATACAAATTGCTAGCGATAAGTATTGTCAGTTGTCATTACTCATTATAAATGTTAAATTATACATCTTATAATAATTACATAAGACAATCTTGGATAAACTAGCTACATATATTTTATGTATATTTTTAACTGTACCTATGCCTTTTTTCCAAGACGCTGGAGAAACCCACCATGGGGACTCTGCCGGCCGTCAACGGGTAGGGTACTATGAAACTCCTACTCACTAAAACCCACAGCGGAACCCGTCGCCGCAGTGCAATGACTCAAGCGATCCAAATCCCTCTTATCTATTTAAGCGTGATTGCGCAAACAAATATACACATACAAACTTCAGCATTTATAATATGTAGTACATCGATTATTTTACTTTGTAGAGTAGTAGGGCTAAAAGTCGAAAGTAGACGAATACGAAAAAAAACGTGTGTGTGTACATATGTACGCACGTACTCGTAAGAAGTTATACTTCTTTGGCGTAACAAAACAAGCTAAAGGTTTCATCCCGTATGTCACAACTCTCTGTTTGTAAAAGGAATGCAGCTAACTTCATCATGTCGCATCGTAAAAATTTTACTCTCATATTTTTTTCCAAACGTGCTTCGAGAAGTACCTATAACTTCAAAAACGTTTAATTTTGCATATTTTTTTGCTAAAAAGGAAAGGACATGTAGAATCGCCACTCATTACATAATATATCAGCTGTATAAACAGAACGGCTTTAGATTTAATATATATGTAAATATGAAAGTCGCAAGTGATGAGAAAAAAATATTATCGCTCTATTAGAGAAAGTGTCAGTTCGAATTTCGAATAGAAATCTATGGGCATATATTCCAATATAAAAAATATAAAATTTACTTCACACAGGCTAAAAAGATTATAAAAATCCATAGATTAAAAATATTGATTTTCTTTTGTTTCAATAAAGGTATGTATGAATTGAATACATTCTACATAATAATAATACAGTATTTGCATCAAATGTATGTATTTTTTTATCTTTAACCGTATGTAATAATGGTTATAAGATTTGCCTTTACAGCCATACCAATTTACATTAAAACCTTATTAAAAAATTTAGGCTTGCTAATAGAATATTGATTATTTATCTATACTAATATATAAAACTGTAGAGTTTGTTTGTTTGAATGCGCTAATATGGATTTACTGGTCTAATTTGAAAAAATCTTTTTGCGTTTTATAACCTATGTCTATCTTATATTATACTACGACAAACGAGAGTGAAGTAATTCCACAAAGTTATAGGACGTGGGCTGAGACGCGAACCTTATTATTGTTAAGGTGATCCTTTTACTTTTTTAAATTTAGGTTTACGATTATAGCATTACAAATACTATTACCGCAGAGTGACAGCTGGGGCTGTCGTGTCGTCCTTATAAATAATTTACAATACTCACATAACACACCAACTCATGATTTTTTTTGTTTTTTTTTAGTTTGTCAAAGATTATATAAACAAATATCATATCTTATTTCAAATAATCATAAAAATATATCGAATATAATAAATTAGATATTTTAAACATTTAATATTAAATAGGCAATTCTTGTAAATATTAGGTATATTTATGTTTATGTATGTATATAAATTTATTTCGTGTATCTCGGAAACGGTTCTAACAATTTGGATCAAATTTTGTATCTAAGTTTTTGCTTTTTAAGCTTATCTACGCAGGTTTCCTTCTTGGTAGCTGAAATACTGAAATATAAAATATCTTTATAACTAAAACAATGACAGTATTTCTGAGTTCGAGTGAAATTGTTACCTTAAAATCACATGTATATATATATATATATATATATATATATATATATATATATATATACATGATACAGATAATAAATACTTTAGATGTCAGTATTAAATACATGGTAGGTTTAATCTGCATCGCAAAGTGTTAATTATACTATAATCGCTATTCAATACTGCTGTATCTCAGTGAAAGGAGGCTACATCATTTGCGTGTTATTCGCGAGAATGTATGACTGACTGTGCGTGAAGGTACAAAATAAATAAAACTTTTGTTATGTCGGCAAAAACACTTTATAATTAAAAGATAGTTGCCTGGAAATTGGACATGGCAGGAAGTAGACATGTGAAGTCCACAAATTGTGACAACTATACTGTTAATTAATTAATAGATATTAATTTGAATTACAATTAATTTGTTGTTCTACGATATCATGATGGATATGCAACAATAATGGCCAATCCACACTATGACAGCCCGTTCTTGGCTCGATTTCGATCTGGTAAAGTTTTTCTGTACAAGAAACGTTGGGGGAGTGTGATTTACCGGAATTTGACTCTTACTGATAGTGTGAATGCATTCATTGTTTTTTGTATAACAATACTTTACCAGACCGATATCGGAACGAGACCGAACCGTGATCTACTTTATAGTGTGAGTCGGGCAATAGTCTTTTATTACTCCAATCACTAGCAAAAATCATAAAATATAATAAAGCCACTTCTTAGCCATCCAGCTTAGACAAGATGAAATTCTACAATCGTTTAAGCTAAATTAAATCTAACTATGCCAAAGAAAATTTTATAGCTCAATATAATACCGTTTAAAGTAGCAAAATCGGTCAAGGCGTCTCCGAGAAATCAGTGAACATAAATAACAGAAACATACATACAGACAGACGAACATAGAACCTCCTCTTTTTCGAAGTCGATTAAAAACTGTGATTAAATGATATATTTAAGCGTCGTGTCAAGTAATGACTAATATTATTCTAATCATTATTTTTGATTTCTACGCACGATTCTAAAATGTCATCTTGGGCAATCCTATAGATATAAAATATATAATTAGGAAAAAGAAATCGGGTCAATAATATGATTATTTATGTTATATGATAACTATCATTTTCTCAGTGGCTTTTTGTAAAATTACTTCTCTCCCATATGTCATAGTGTGATCTAAGATAACCTTCCTCAAAGAATATTTTAAATCGGACCGTCAGATCCAGAGATAGTGCGTATAAACAAACAAACAAACAAACAAACAAACAAACAAACAAACAAACAAACAAACAAACACACTCTACAGCTTCATATACATTAGTTTAGATGTACAAATAATATATTAAAAGCGTAAAAAATATTATATAAAACAATATATAATCGTTCACATCTAACATGCTCATCAACTTTCGCGATATCATAATTCATTGTCTAAGTTCAAGTCCGCACGCACATACCATGATACTCGTTTTTATTAAAACAAATCCTATTGCATTATTTTTTGAAAGAAAATAAAGATATAGTAATTTTCATTAGTCTGTTAGCGTTCTGGCAGTAAGCCATTATTTGTTATTATCTAAGCCGGATACCACAGGTTTGACGCGCGACCCAAATTTATATACCTTTTCATCAAGGAAGCCTAGGTTAAATATTTTAGTACTAGATATTACTCGCGGCTATTCACTTAATATAAATATGTATGTATTTCTCGTATAATATCTAGAAGCCTCTAACTTTAACTTATTCCTAAATAAGAAGGCTTTAAAATACATAAAGAATATCTTTTTTTTTTTTATAATATTGGCGAGCAAACGAGCAGGCGGGTCTCCTGATGTTAAGAGATCACCGCCGCCCATGAACATTTGTAGCACCAGAGGCACCACTAATGCGTTGCCGGCTTTTCAGGACTTTATTGGTCCGCCCCTTGAATAACCCCATGTTGTAGTCAAGAAAGAAAGAAGCCTGATTGGTAATTTCTGAGTTTAACGCGCTCTGACAAACAATCAATCTTCATCTTAATAACCTTTTTTTACACATAACATGCATTAACCATAAAAAAATTTAACAGTGTAATAGTCGTATGTAAGTAATTATCATATGACCGGTTATGTACCATACACGAGCTTATGTTATCCGCGATGACCTCACTTGGCGTTTTCACTATATACTCGTAAGAAAGAAGAAAGATTGAAGAAAGTTTCTTTAGAAATTGTTACGTATTTAGACTTTATTTTAAATAATTAGTGACGTAACGTAATATTTTACACTAATTATATGTAGTAATACATTATGGAATTTGAAAGTAAAAATAAAAACGAAATAATATATAAATATTAAATACCTTTTATAGGTTTTCTTGAACACGCTTTTATTAGATTTTTTAAGTTGATTTTAGTTTCAATTAAAATTCGTCGTATCGGTTTGTAACTTTATAAGCTGATATGATGTAGAGTCAAGAGATGTGATAGTAGGGCTAATAAATAGTTAATTAATGTACTATAATTAATTATATTTAACATTTTAAATAAAATAAAACTATCTTTTCGGATTTTTTCGCGAATTTATTTTGATTTTTGGTTCGTCGGGAACCAAAAATCAAAATAAATTCGCGAAAAAATCCGAAAAGATATTTTATTTTATTTAAAAGTCAAGTATTCGCGTAAATCTAAGAAAGTATTTTAATTATATTTAATTACTTTGTCCCTTTACCCAAGAAACGATAACTATTATTAGTTTAATTATTTTCAATCAATAATAAAACATTTCTTTTCTTATTATTATTACATAAATGTTTTTAGAATCCTTACAAATTAATATTATTAATACGAAAGTGTTTTCTGCTACAAAAAGTTTGATCATTGGTAATAGATGAAATTATAAAATAAAACCTATATAATTAAGTAATAGATAAAGTTCGGAGATGACTCATTCTTAGATGTTGTGAAATAAAATATATTAAATTTTTAATAGGTTTATTATACTAATAAAACAACACACCATAAAAATAAGCTCTAAAAATATACTACCAATGCATTTTAAATTGTTGACTGACATTGCAATTAATAATAATATGTATGTTGTATTAATTACTATTTTGATACTGTACACTTTTTATATGTACATATACCTATATAGCTTTCGTTTTTATTTGTTCTTAAAAATTCCATATTTTTTTGCGACACCAATAATATGTATAATGTAATATATCTTCATAAAGATAAAAAAAGGCGGAAGAGTATATTTACAATCGATTATAATTTACAGTTAACCCAGTTAAGAGTGAAAGGTTAAAGGCTGAATTATGTAATTCTAATAACATACATTCTACACGCTTCTTCTAAATGTGAATGTTCGACACAATGACAGACTTTTGCCGCAGTTTACTTTCCATCCATAAGAAATAGTAGTTTTTATATATAATTTCTATATATTTATTTCGCTTTATGTATATCAATTATTACATGTAGTTTGATTTATGAAATAAAATATTTAAGTACTTACAGTTCGACTTATGCACTCTTGAAAATAAAAAGTTTTTTTTTAATTAAAACTGCTTAGTGTAATAAAAGAATATAATATGTTTTATTTAATCTGTAATACAAACCCTTGGTCCAGTTATGGCGGCGACTGCATGCGCCAACAGCAGAAAAACGCAACCCCTCATGCTGCTCTTTATAAAGAGCGGCAGAGTACCATCACACAAAAATCAAAATCACGATCACTGAATCCCAACACACACACTAATTTAAAAAAAAATAAAAAATACCATAGACAACTTATAACTTTAAAGTTTTGGCGCGAAATAATGACAGCTAAGTTTTTTTCAATCGCACGCGGCGGCAGTCTCAACGGCAGTACAGCCAGCAGTGAACGGCGCTTCGTTTTACCACCCCTACTCCAGCCGCCCCTACTTATTTCGAAAGGATCGTCAAATCGTTTTAAAATAGCCATTATTGTGTGAAGTTAATTGATTGTTGCATAAAAACAATTAAGATGTCATCTTTAGAATTGTATATAGGTCTATCCAATGACGTCGTAAAAGTGCGTAATGTAAAAACGAGAATAATTTTAAAATAATGAGTCAAGAATAAGATGTTAGAGATGGCAATTGTTGTGAGAAGTCTCACAGAAAGTACGGGTAAGTGTGACCAATCTTTCTTCGTGTATTGTTCTAAAATTAATTTTAATATAGACAAGTAAAAATTTACTATACATAAGGTTTATGCTCTATTAGTTAGTTTATGTGCTTTATATGTCACGTTATGGGTGCACAGTGTAATTTTAATCTTGAATCTAAAATAGAGGATAAATTTGCAATGTTTTATTATAGAAAAGTCTTTTATTACGAATATGTTAGCTTAGTTCTTTATCTATCTAATATTTTAATATAAAAAAAAGTACTGACAGATCACAGTGTGATGTTTTAACACTACTTTTAATTTTAAACTTCTTATAAATAAATAACAACAGAGATCTCAATACTGTTTTAAGTTTATAAGTTGTAATAATAAATTATTAATTACATTAAATTATATAATCTGAATCAGGTCAGGCGGTTCACTGACAACATTAGCAAAGCTAGGAATCGAGCCGTGGCGGGTGTTGGATTCCTTTACGTAAACCCTGATGCAACATTATCCAATTAACGGAAATCTTATGGTAAAATCATTAATCAGGCGAAATATCTTTTGAAACGGCAAACAATGGATCAGGATGTTGAGCCACGGTGAAATGAATGGCGATAAACCTACTTTTGATAGGTTCGCCATGTCAGTGCACATGCATTATATGCATACAGTCCTGAACGATGGCATAAGCCATCAAGGCATTACAGAGTTCATCAAGTAATGATAGGCGTGGGATATTTTCAGTAAAAAGTCAAATTAAAACAAAAGTGCTACCTTGCCCATGATTATTTTGTATTGAAAGCAAAGTGGATTGGTATGGGATGAGATGTAATTTATAGTATAAACTGTAAAATTCAAAAACTTTAATACCAAATTCCATATTTTTAAGTTTATAAATTGTAAACTTCCATAAGAATTGTTTGACCCCTTTAAGAAATGATTTTAAAAAAAAACTTGCATATACCTTCGTTACATTTTAAATACTGTGAAATAAATCAGTAATAAATCTATATGTATATCTATTATTATTAATAAATGATGCTGCTCACCTATGACGTTATAGTTTAGACGAAATTTTATAAAATTATATAATTATTAAATTATATACTAAAAACTAGCATTGCCCGCGGCTCCGCCCGCGTTCAGATGACCAAAAACCAAATTGTTAGGTTTTACAGATTAGTATAACCTCACATTGCAGTTCTTGCTTTTATTCTCAGAAATAAGATATTTTCCCGCGGTAAATAATATCCTATATGTTGACCCGGATAATCAGCTATCACCATACCAAAATTCATCAAAATCCCTTCAGTGGTTTTTCTTTGATGCGGTAACAGACAGACAGACAGACAAAAATTCTAAAAACTATAAAATTCGGACTCTGTATCGATAATAATGTCTATTTCAATTAGATTTTCCAAAAAATATTTAATGTACAGATTCGACTTAGTTACAATTTTATTATATGTATAGATAGATAGATAATATATTGTATATATGTATATTTTATACACGATTGCAAGATCGTAGTATCCGTCAATCATTCAACGAATGGAAACTCTAGTGAAATGTCTAATTGAGGTGCAACAGTTTACACCATTTTGAAGTAATGCATTTTGCAAGTCTTTATCTTCATCTGCATTGTGCATGCGTGAGTTTTCTTTTTAGTACAATATTAACATATTGAATTGTAAAATAAAAAAAAACTAACCTTATCCTACATAAAAAAGGAGGATATTCTTAATTTCGTATAATATGTTGTTTGTGCCTATAAAATGTTATTTTAAAATATCGTCAAAACAAAAAGAAATTGCTTTTAAACATTACCCATATTACACTTATAGTTATACCTAGTAATAAATTTGGAAAATCATAGGCAATATATAAATTACTCAGATGTGTCAGATGCGTCCCTACGAGCCGCTATCAGTAACCGATAAAGTAAATAAATTATAATAATAAATAAATATGTTGGAACATTAACACACAGCACCATCTAGTTCCATGGTAAGCTACGAGGCCTGTGTTGTAGATACCAGATAGTTGATACACTACACATATATAACTTTAAATATATACATATTATGAATATAAACACCCATGACTGGAGTACAAACATTCGTGCTTATCACACAAACGAATGCTCCTAGCGGGACTCGAATCCGCGACCGCTAGCACAGCAAGTAGGATCACTACAAACTGAGCCAAACGTATCATCAACCTATCAAGTAACCCAACGGCCATTTTTTTCTAGCTTCAATTCAAGTTATTATGATTTCTGACATTGCAATAATGGTGATACATGCTTCTAATCAGAGAAAGAATTATCAGAAACGGTTGAGTAGTTTCAGAGTTTACCGCCTACGTACCAACTTACAAAATTTACCTCCTTATTACCTCCAGGTAAATTTCTAAGAAATCTATTGTTAAAATATTAATTTAAATAAAATAGATGCAACAATTGACCCAATAATAAGATACAAATAAAATTTTGCAATTGATTCTAAATAATACATTTATTGAAAGTCAACGAACCGGTGCAACGTGGCTTAACCACCAATCTTTTACCATCGCTTTCAAAGATATAATTAAATCTGTCAGTAGGTTTCATTATTACGTATTTCAGCATATCTTAAGTTCCAATACTCGAAAAGCTTGATTTTACATAAAACATTATGTCAGATCCGATTATATTTTTTAATATATACATATAATTAAATTCTGAGTCGAATCTGTACATTAAATATTTTTTTGGAAAATCTTATTGAAATAGTCATTATTATCGAGACAGAGGCCGAATCTATAGGTTTTGTCTGTCCGTATGTCTGTCTGTCTGTCTCTCTGTGATCCATTGGACAGATTTTGATGAAATTTGGTATGATAATAGCTGTTTTTCACTGCAGGAAAATATCTCATCTCTGAGAAATCTATACTAATCGATAAAACGTATCTAGGGACGAACCCAAGCGGAGCGAGGGTGAGTCGCTGTTTATTCCATAATTCCAAGATTTATTACATAAACAATTATCGCAAATATTTCTTTCGATTTAATTTATTTTGAATTTATTATATAGGGTTGTAAAATCATTCTTTATTTTATTTAATAATATTAAAATAGGTATTGCGGTGGAAAACAGATTAAGTTTAAGAAATGTGCTACGGCTTACTGCCGGCTCGAATTGCATCAATCGATTCGATTCCATATTTGTCATTTCAATGAATCTTTCCGAAACGCCAGAATATATTGCGACATTGATCTATTTATCTATTTATTCATACACGTCACATAAAAAAATGTTTTATCGTGACGTGTGTATTCAGCCCTTTTTATCATCCCACTGCTGGGCACGGGCCTCCCTTCAATACGAGGGGGATCAGGTCATAGTCCACCACGCTGGCCAAGTGCGGGTTGGCGGACTTCACATGTCTTTAGAAAACTTGCTAAGTTCTCTCAGACATGCAGGTTTCCTCACGATGTTTTCCTTCACCGTAAGGCAAGTGGTAATCATGTTAGAAATGATTCGCACATGAAAATATCAGAGGTGGGAGACTTGGGATTTGAACCCGCTTCACTCGGTTTCTCAAGCGAGCGCGTTACCACTGGGCTACCACTGCCTTTTTTTATCGTGACGTATATGAATTAAATTATAGTGTTAAACATTCTATAGAAAATAAAAAAAAAACTTTTTTTTTCTTTGGAGCAATAGTCGCAACACAACAAGGTCTTTACTGTTTATGGCCACCATTAATTTTCACCATTTGCTATTTTATTACTTGTTTGGAAATGTGCTTTATATGCCCTGCCTCTGTGCAGAAGTTTGCAGTAATAACTAATTTTTTTGTTAGATTTTCCTCCGGATCGATTTAAGTACAGAACTTCTGACATGTAAAGTGTAGTTAGTTATACAGAGTTTTCGATCATAATTTTATATTTTTTTAATGTCGCTGGGTAAACATATTAAGTAGTTCCTTCCAGCCTGTCTTAAACACAAAAACACGGACGCTGTCATTGCGCTTCCCTATTTAAAAACTCCAATAGGATCCCATCAAAGGCGACAAAAGCCACATAGAAACCAATAAATATTTATCGGTCCATATGTGGCTTTTGTCGCTTTTGGTGGGATTTTATTGGAGTTTTTCAACAGAGTTGTGGGATTCTGTATCGCCTGCACTACAGCAATATGTTTTTACTTCTGGACAAAGCCGGGTCAGATGCTAGTATTATATATAAAATTGTAGTTATAAAATATAGCTAAAAAAGGCAATACTATGCGGTGCCAATACCGTACAAGGTATTCATTATGATATATAAATTTCTCGTGTAAAAAAACAATTACGAAATACAAATTACAGCAATACTTTCGTTTTAAAAATTTAAATACTTGTGACCGTTCTAATTAGCAGTTTGGTTAAAATTACAATACAAATAAATGAAAATTCCCATTCATGCGTATTTCTAATTCAAACACGTTTATTATCAATTAGTTCCTATGGCTTTTACACATGGTTACCGTATAAAGTGCAGTACTTTCGAATC